TTAAGATAAAATAAGCTAATTAATTCAATAGCGAGTGAAATGGCGGCCTTCACTGGGTCTAAAGGGTATTTGGTAATATGATAGTAATGATAAACATTGATTCCTTGTACAGCGCGTATTACATTATATAATAACGTCTCTATGTGCTTCCAAATGATTTTTGATATTTCATCTCGGCTTAAGCTTCAGCCCCTGTAGACGGAGCGCCCAGTGCAATCAATGTATACATCCAAACAGATACCAAATTATACTTAACCTGTATCGACCGCGGCAAATGTTGATTAAAATGGCTTACCAAAGAACATTGGTGCTTCGGCAGGGATTCGTACCCCCTACCTTGCCGTTCACCTATCCACTAGACCACAAAACCTCTAATATTGGTCACTCGCCAGTCGTGTAACGTTCTTGGTCAAGACATTGTTCCACAATGTGAGGAGACGATGGGTAATAATTGTAAAGATTGCTAAAAAGCCAATCTGACTGCATTTGATATTGGTCCTACCTACATGCATGTGAATGGTGCGCAATAGAAACAATTAGGGATGTCATCCAAGGAATAGAGATGGTGCACCTTGCGTGCCGACTTGAAATCCAGTGAATCCGGTGTTTCACAAAGCCTCTTATCAATGTCAAATGACAAAAATCAGTGAAAAATCTGCTGATAACCAATCAGAAGCAAGGGTTTCAGTAGCTTAAAACAAAAACTATCATTTGTCACTGATGACAAGCTTTGTGAAACCTCCTCGAGGGGGTTTTACTAAGGACATTGTGAAGGGCATTGAATAATTAACGTAATTCAGAATTTAATCTATAATTTCTTCAATAACAAAGAACAGGACAATAATACATCTCACTACACTACAATAAATTAACTGACGAAAAAATGACTGTTTTTCTTCTTTTTTTTCTTCTTCAAATTGAATTGACATATAATGTTGTAAATTCCGAATGATTTCAATTCAACGTCACTGCTCGGTTTAGTACAAGACCGATATGAACGTTTTTATCATACCATCTTTAGTGCTGAAGGGTTTGGAAATAATCTTCAAAACATTTTTTACAATTGCAATAATATTTTATGAACCTAAGTAATTTATGACAGGTTTTTAAGTAGGTGTAGACATTTAAATTTGTTTTTAACCCCTATTTATATCGAGTATACAGAATTATAGTAAAAATGTTTTTGGAAAATGATGAGTCTTTAAAAAAAGAAACAATGCACCGGCTTTTTGATCCGAAACCTGCCAAGTTCTTTATTATGTACGAAGACAGACATTGCTATAGAAGACAGTGTACCAAAACCCATTGGCCTCATACAATATTAAATGAAACCCCCAATAATTCGTTGCAAAATATCTTCGTGGAATATGTTTTTTTTTATATAACATGTAACTGCCTGTGTAAGATGTAAAGTACTTACCATTTATGGTGATTCTTTTTGTTTTGGATGTGAATCACAGACTATACGGCTTACTAAGATGTGAGTATCTGTCTTTCACTAAGAAACAACAAGGTTTGACGCCAAATGGCAAGAAATGCGTGTTTTGCAGGCACAAATCCTTGTCAGTCGTTGTATGTAACAGCGTCTGTAATTTAAGACTACAACAGACTCTGTACTTAGCCGTTCCTGACAGAGGCAGGAACTGATAGATAGGCTCTGCTCAAGGCTTGAGTAATGATGGTAAATGTGACCTCACTTAAAGAGAGACGGAGTGATCGCGTTGGCAAGTTTGCGCGTTCCTTGCTACAATCGAAACAATATCGCTACTTCTAACCTTAAACTCGAATAATCACTGACATACTTATAAATCCCTCCGCGATAGGCCATTAGGACTTGCCTTTTATTTTTCAGAAAAAACTGTTGTTACAGTTTGCTATTTGTCATTTTCGTCCGAATCAGTTATACCAATCAATATTAAAGGTCAACAGTCATGACTCATGGTGTTATCATGGTAACAACTTAGAAATCAAGAAGAGTGGTAACAATGGAAAATAGTAATTGAGGTACCTTTAACAATTAGGGATATCAATAATTGATGAGCATTTTTTCAATGAATACGAATTGAAAGAGCGATTACACGAGTGAATTCATGCACATCAAAAGGTAATTCTGGCGTGTGCTGAAAAAACAAGGTGAGTGAAGAAGAATGAGCGAAATTTCTCGTTTAAACATTGATCCAGTCACGGTCACAAAAACCCTTTAAACAATACTTATTTCTATTGCTTATTGTGATTATTATTGATTCTTCTGAAGCGGACTGATTGCATTGAATAACATTTATTTGTTTGTATGATCGTTGGTTAAGTGGTTTATTAGGGAAGCGGGTTTTTGTCAATTGGTTATTTATTCAATTGTGAAGGTTATGATATTCTGCCATAATGTGCGTTCGCTGAAAAATAAGTATTGTTTGATTGACAGATTTTCACCACAATATCTTTTATAAATATTAGGATGATTGGGGTAACTATAATAATGATTGAAAGGTGATTTTGTCTCTGGAAAATATTCTTTTTAAAGGAATTTTGTTTCATATAAAATGCAAGACAATGAAAGGAAAAGTGACTGTTGATTGATTGTTTTCCAATTCTCCTGTTATGCCTCTCTCTCTCTCTCTCTCTCTCTCCCTACTCTCATTCCCATTTCCTGTCTCGCTTTACACTCTTCAGATCTGTTTCTTATTCTCTTCGTCAATTGTGTGCGTGTGTGCGTGTGTGCGTGCATGCTTGATTATTATTATTAGGACAATTTAGTGATTTCATTCCATTATTCTCCTTCTTTGCCCACTGTTTTGTGAATAATTTTTTATGTTATGAAAACGAAATGAAGATCTGTATTTGTATGGAATTATTTACATTGATTTTTATGAAATTATTTATTTTGAATGAAATCTCTCTAAAGAAAAAAATTGGAAAAAAAAAATTAAAAAATGTGTGCGCTTCAGGTCTCTCAACTGTCTAAATATTTGTTTGCTTAGACAATTATCCACGATTTGGACGTGCCCGAAGCTTCATGAATTATTCATGTTCTGTTTGATACTCCAACATTTGTAATTTATGCGCTTTACGCCACAGTAAAAAGAGAAAAGAAAACAATTCGGATCATCTTCGAGCATGTACATTTGGAGAGGTCATCTCCGCTTAATGTATGTATCTGTGTTAAAGGTACTATGTCCCATTTTGCAGGCCCAAAAAATGAAAAGGTTAAATTCTAACGGCATTTGAAAGTAAATACTTCCTGGTTTTAGACTGGGATGTAATTTTAAAATGAAAGTCATCTATTAGTTGCAATGTAATATCATCATTATTATTATCAAAATTATCAGTGTTATTGTTTTCATTTCTTTCGGCTTTCACACACACTTCCTGAAATTGTGGGCCACAATGTGAAAGGAAGTACGAGCCCGTGTACAAACGAATGGATACGGTCCCATATGAATTGGGACCAAGCTTCCATCACTTTGTCACATACTTCAAAATCCCTCCTCTCTCTCTGTCTCTCTCTTTCCCTCCTCTCTCTCTCCCTCTATTTCTCTCCCCCCCCCCTTTATTTCTACCTTGGCTACGGTGTAGACCCGGCCCGGCCCCCACTCCGAGAACGGAGGGATATCATGCGTGTTCCCAAAATGTCCGGTAAAGGGGTTCTTTTTACGTGGGTGACGCGTACCCTAAATAACACTGAGTGGGGTAGGGGGGTGTAGAACTTTGGCTGAGGCTTTCCCACATTACACCATATTAATATCCCTGTAGCCCCTCCAGACGATTCCCAAGTACTAAATATTTGTAAGTTTCTTCAGTGGCCCCCCTCCAAATCTCACCTAAAGAAATATTCGAAATGATAGTCCAATTATATTGGTAGGAAATAGTATAGGCATTATTTGAATGGTTTGAAACAGGTCGCAAAATAAGGATTAATAGGTCAGTTCCACGTTTAGAGATTTGGTGCAGTGCTATTAATACATTAATAACAATTACCTGTATAATAAACAAAAACACTTAACACCTACCCTGGACCTGCATTTAAACCATTAGATTTTGTAAACTATTGTCTTAAAAGTGAATAGCAAGTCCTTATTCAAGCAAACTTCATACAAACAAACCTTTCTCACTTAGATCATTTTTTTTATTGGGCATTTTTAAAATCAGCAAAATCAATGACAACACTTCCACAGCTGCTATGGTGCATACCCACAAAATTTCATAAATCTGTGTGTGCTAGGGTCTTTATAATTATTTACTCAATGTCTTGTTAACAGGAAATAAATGGTGTATGTTTTGTTAACCATATTCGGCCCAAATAGATAGCTTGTGGCATATTTTTTTACACTTGCGGTCACGCGGACCTTTGATCAAGTGGTCAGACCCCTGTAATTATTACCAATGTATTGTGGTTAAAGGTGTAATAGCTGGTTAGCATGTAACTTATGTGTCATATGAAGGTGTCAATGACCATGCGATAACAAGAGAATGAAATAAAGATAAAAAGGTTACCATGAAATGTACAACATAATAATGAATATTTCTAAAGCGTTAACAAACATTAAAACAATTTCATAATGTCAAGTTCACGAATCTTCGAGCATCTCAACCATTAAGTAAATGCATAACTTAAAGAAACCTTGATGAACACTTTGTCTAGGCACCGTGCATCACATGACACCATTTGCCCTGGTCTGTCAATTTTGCAAATAAAATTAAGGGTGAACAAAAATATATCACTTTTTTCGTAGCTGCGGGTGAATCTTTCCATTTCTCAAAACCGGTAAAATCGGTTGAAAAATCTGCTTTAGTATACAACTCACAGTTATTTAGATCAATGTCTGCACTTGTAATATAATACAGCAAAATTTACATATATAAGCTGTAACTAACCAACAATATCGGTAACTGGGTAATAATACAAATGTTTTTAATCAAATAAATTCAGATCCATCAAAATTGTAAATTGACTAGATGAATGCTGTACTTATACAATGATCTGGAATACATAATTATCTTTTTTTAAGTATATACATGTATATGTATTGTACGGGATACACAAAAAGTGACTGAAACTTTCAAGAGTAGAGGAAGGTTACGTATCACAAAAGGGCTCAGTATAGAGCGAACGTTTCAGTATTAGAAAACGCCAGATAAATAAAGAGAAAAAAATGCACATGTAGATGAGGGAGGGAGTGATCTAGAGTTTGAGAGATGGGGAGGTGTGGGTGTGTGTGTGAGTGTATGTGAGAAAGAGAAAGTGAAATAATAAGAGAAAGAAAGAGATAGATGGCAAGAGAGAGTTAATCTGTGTGTTTATGTGTGGGGGCGATGGAAGAGAGAAGAGAAGAAAGAGAGAGAGAGAGAGAGAGAGCGTTGTAACAATGTAAAGGGGAACACTGAAAATGACACCAATAAAATATAGAAAGAATAATACAAAAAGACAATTGATAATCACTGCGATGTATATACAATCATGGCAAAATGTCTAACTTGACTGTTTAACACTGCTTCCAAAAACAAAATAATCTTATCATAAACATGACTAAGATATATCTCAGAGTAAATACATACGATTCTAAAAGCTTTTCTACTCAAGGCTTAGTCTTCAATTTATTCGCCTTATTCTAAATATTCTACTATAAGGTTGAGTAGTAGTCATGCAATTGCATTGTGAAGAAACAACATCTGGAGAAGATGGAGAGAACGTTTTGGGAATGATCGAAATGGAAACGGATTGACTCAGACTATCTTGAAATTACACGCAACGCACATAAATTAACAAAAAATGACTATACTAGATAAAAAAAAATGTGGCATGACAGTTCGGTTCAAACTTTTCAGAAATTTTTCCTCATAATTCAAATATTTTTTTGTTCAGGGGATATTTTTACTGTATGAACGTAATAATCTTCCACACTGACATACAAAATTGAATAATCTCACAAATTGTTTCTTCGTCTCTACCAGAACTCAACTTGTCTGTAACGCAATGTGAACGAAACTGAGTAAATACTGCACCTGATTACTTGTACACTGTAGATTATTCGTGATAACTATACATACTACGAAACAAAGGAAAGTGACATCTGAACAAACAAAATTACTCTATCTTCCGTCGAAGTGTAGTCTACACACCAGACTCGCAGTTGGCCCCTTCTTTCTTGTCAACGTTTTCTACTACTTTTGCATCTTCTATCTCGGCTTTCCCGGAGTGGATGACGTCATCGCCTTTACCTGCCTCCAGCTCCAATTCAGCCTCCTAAGAATAAAAGAGTAAACAAAAGGTAGTTGGAAATACATCACCATAAATGATTGGGAAATGTGGAGAGGAAGGAGAGAGTGGGAGGGCGCGTGGTGGGTATTATATCTATTTCACCATGATAGTGTATATATTACCATCGGATTTGCGTGTTTTCCTTTGCCTTCCAATATATTTTTGAAAAATCAAATCGGTCACTGGTCACCAGCTTATTGGGCGACTGGTTTGATAACAGTACGACTTCCCGCCAATTGGCTTTTTTTTTTGGGGGGGGGGGGGTGGTACAAATGAAATTCATTTCATATTGAATCCATATGGATTTCTTTGACATTCAGTCGTAGTCAGGTATTAACGGGTGTCAGTGGGTATAATAACTTAACGTGGCAGTAAGAATGATTTGAAGCAAGCTCACCTTGGTTCTGAGGGGTGTTTCACAAAGACTAAGATCGAGGTTAAGTTTATGACAGGCCTTTCATGCCACTGTTTGCTGTCACCATTAACTGGCATTAGTCAAAGTATGTACAAATCATGGTCACAAATCTACAGAATTTACATTTTTGGATAAATCATTATTGAAAGAAAATCTAAAGATCATAATGGTGAGAGCAAACTGTGGCATGAACGGCCTGCCATAGTTAAGTCCAACTTAAAGTCAATCCTAGTCTTTGTGAAACATGCCCCTGGTTGTAAATATTATATTCAGGAAAAAATATATGATTCTTTCACCAGCAGGTCTATAACCTTGGTGAGAAATCATGATATTTTGATTAAAACTGAGGGACTAGTCAGCACAAGGGATCTGTGTAATGTGTCAATAGCTTGGATGAGTGTTGTTGCGGTGATAATCTATATTATAATGGGAGTATATATGAAATACAAACTTGCTAACCTCCTTGTCGAGTGCTTCTAGCTCCTTCTGAGAAAGATGATGCACTATACCAGCTCCGTAAGAATCGCCAACTACGTTGATGGATGTACGGCAACGATCCCTACAGGCCAAAAAGAGATACAAAATACTGAAACAGTATATGTATACATGCAGCGTGTCCACACACAAAACAATTTATCCAAAAACTCTATAACGAAACGTCGTATAAAGAATCATCGTATAAATTCCAGGATGTCCACACACAGACGAAAGTAATCCTGAAACTCTACAGCGAGATGTCGTATAGGTGCGCAGTTTGCTACTGCGATCATGAAATTGAAGCGGAAATGAGAGGTCAGGTCTCCTTTCGCTCGAGACCACGTTAAGCCCCGCCCAGTTATACCGTTCTAGTTCGACTAGTTATACTAGTTACGTCCACACACAACAAATTCCGTGATTAGGCGTGATTAGGCGTGACTCTTTATACGTCGTATAACGAAACGCATGTTTGGGCATCGTTTCGTTATACGACGTTTCGTTATACGACGGATCGTTAGTAAGCGCCCACACACAATTTCATCGTACTACTATCCCGAAACGGTATAACTAATCACGCCTAACAACGGAAAAATGTGTGTGTGGACACGGGGATAGTTATATAACATTACACTCTTACAGCCTGTATGCACTACTTGTAGCTTATTGCGCCCTCTATATAGCCAACAATGCCTAAGTGGTGACTGTAGATCCCCCATTTCCCCCTTTTTCTTATGTTAATTGAGAGCTGATTTGATGAGATAACCACCTACCAGTGACCAGCAGGGAGGTCTAATCCCTCCTGGCCAAACTAGTGCAGACAGGCTTTAAAAGAGTTTGGTAAAATTGTACACAATAAAACAACAAACTTTAGACAATAATAAGTAAAACGCACCCAAATGTGGGTAATATCTTACCAAACAAACATGTGCGTTTCCATTTTGTATAAATCCTGTAATCTTATTCCAAAATATTTGTAGAGTGTACATAATATACTTTTTCAACAAAACAACGCAATCAAATACAAAGTAAAATGACAATTAGCAAGAACTCTTTAGATATTACCGTAAATCGAGTTGATTTGATACGTAGTTTATTATTGTTATTATTGTTATTATGTTTTCATTATTATTATCATAATTATTATTGTTATTATTATTAGTGTAAATATTTGTTCGGCAGAGACAAAATCAAGTAAACAATGGTTACAAAAACAATAGTAAGGTTTGAAAAAGTCAAATGGTACAGGTAAACATATGATTAACTGAATTAATATAATACGAAGGTTATCCTTCCCAATCAATGTGACCTTACATAAATAAAACAAAATAGCTTGCACATTAATTGCAAGTACAAGTAAAAATTAACAATAAAACATTTAATGTTACATTGTGTTCATGTATATGTGTCACAAAAAAGGGAGAAAACATTGATTACCGAACATTGAACATAACATGAACCACGAGAGGGTGCTTTCACGGGGAAACACTAATAATTATGATTACATACTGGCATTCACTGATTTTGGTAATCATCATTTATAGTCCAATGGGTTATTCAGAAATCGCAATAATAATAATGATGATAATAATAATGTAGGTTTTCCCGGCCAATTCGTCAAAGCAGCAATCAATTTCATTAATGTTCGAGTAAATTTTCTCCACTCGTTGCTCACCTGTTTCATTTTTAAACTTGTTCCAATCAATTTCGTTTTGAGTCATCGAATTTTCTAAACATGCACATTCAAATTCAAATAAACATAATAACAATAATAAAACCAATAATGATGATAATACAATAATGATAAATAGCAATAATAATGAAAGCGGAGTCTTATAATTATAGCTCTCATGTCCGGCACAATGTCTCTCCTGGAGGCCACTCTGGATTTTAGCATGGTTGGCAAAACAATGCTCGAGCATTTTAAGGAATCGATTTCTGTTAGGTATTCATTTACATTACATGGATGGAGTATGGCAAATGTAGATACATGACTTGCCCTACAGCATTAGTGCTGTGGCAGGGAATTGAACCCTGTACCTTTGTGATATATAATAGAGCTTTGAAATTTCCCTAGAGCTGATTTCTTGAAAGTCTTTACAATCACGTTCATGTACAAACAAAATAATAAAACGATAGATTGATTGAACTATTACTCACAGGAACCAGTCGACGGCCATCAGAAGGCTGATCTCTGATATAGGAAAATCGACTGCAGTCAAGACTAGAACGAGGGTGACAATACCTGCACTCGGTATACTAGCCGCACCAATGCTGCCAAGGGTAGCCGTAAGACTGCAGGAAAAGATAAATTTGAATAAAGATAATAACAAAGGTTAGATAAAAAGGAGTAAAGAAATTGAATAAATGAATTGGATAATGAACATTAAAAGATGATGACGTGGATCCTAATCAAATGATTGGTCGAAAGCGTGACCAGGCATTTATTTTGCCTAACGCGTAATTTGGATAATGACCGGGAATTATCCAATTCTCCGGTCAGTAGAAAAATTATGTTATAAACATCATTTTATAAAACAAATAAAACATAATATTATAAAACAAATAATACACATCATTTTGTTCGGGCATATGGTAGAATTACCCACACTCGATACCTGTTTTTAGGTATCGAGTGTGGGTAATTCTACCATATGCCCGAACAAAATGATGTGTATTATTTGTTTTATAAGACTATGTTTTATAACATGATTTTACTAATGACCGGTCATTAGAATTGGATAATGACCGGTCATCATCCAAATTACGCGTTAGGCAAAATAAATGCCTGGTCATGTGTACGCTTTCAACTAATCATTTGATTATGATCCACGTCATCATCTTATAAAAGTCAAACCTTTGTGTTACTTACGGGACCCTTGTGTGTTTTTCTGAATAAAAGAAATGATGTCTTTCAGGGCAATGGAAGATAGAGCAAAGATAAGTTTGAAAAGTGCTATTCAGACAGTGAACTCACAGACACAGAGGTAAATACTGTTATCTTACTTTACACATAAACGGTATTTACTTCAAATGAGTTGAATAAAAAAATCATCAGTATTTTAGTGTCATGATTAGCGCTGAGTTAGTTTTGGGGTACCATGCGGAATGCGGTATTCCGTATAGCTGTTCCGCCTTAATAACACGAGAGCAAAAACTTCCGCAGAATTAACTCGGGCAATTATTTTATCATCTAAAAATATGTTCTGATTATGTATCTCAACCTTCGCATGTTTAAAAAAGGTGATAGACAAGGCTTATTTGTCTAAAGTCTCTGCGATATTGTTGTTATTCTCACCTGATTGTGACGAGCTTAACGAACCCCATGGGCTTTCCATACAGTTGCCCGATAAAAATGGTCGCTACGGCCTCGTAGAGGGCGGTCCCGTCCATGTTGACTGTTGCGCCAATGGGGAGGACGAATCGTGTCACCCTCTTATCAACCTTCAGGTTCTCCTCGAGACAACGGAAAGTGACAGGGAGGGTCGCAGAGCTGAGAGGCAAAGAGAGAGAGAGAGAGAGAGAGAGAGAGAGAGAGAGAAAGAGAGAGAGAGAGAGATAGAGGGGGAGGAAGGGAGAGAGAGAGACAGACAGAGAGAGGGAGAGAGGGTGAGAGAGAGAGGGAAGGAAAGAGAGAGAGAAAGAGGAGAAAGAGATAGAGAAAAAGAGAAAGAGAGGGAAAGAGAGCAACAGAAGAAGACAGAGACAGAGAGGGCCGGAGACAGAGAGAAAAAATACAAAAACCTGATGCAGAGGAGGCGTTTATACCACTGATTGTGCCAATCAATAACATTCATATCACAATGATAAGCAGCGTACAATATTCCCATACATAACGTCTACACCCCTGCGCGCCACCGAACTTCTATCGTACACCTATGTCTTATACATATTCTATTTCACGTAGGTTATGGTTGGCTACCAAATTCTTTACCCATCTAAGGATGCGTTTAAGCTCAATTTTGAAGGCAGAATGAGCGATTAGAAACGCTCATCGTAATCGCAGTTCCACGGTGTACTATTTATGCTCACTTCTCTGGCTCCTCCAGGCAAATCTCGCTGGGTGGCCTTAATTGGCCTTGCAGCTGGATTCGCAAACCTGCACTGCGCATGCTACGTAGACCCACTAGAGGTCAGTGCGTTGACCCCATTCAAACGCGTTTACAAATTATTGTGCGTTTATGCTTCCCCAGAATCGCTAATTTTGCAGAATCGCCGATCGTAAACGCACCTTTTTGTGAGTTTACGGTCGGACATCGTGATCGCCGTTTTTCGGTGATTCTACAAAAGTGAGAAAGGACGCAACCGTGTTTTGAACTAAACGCGTAACAGATGCCTGATTCCGGCCAGAAAAAGTTGAGCATAAACATATCCTAATACTCCCTTTGTTCTTGCTGCTGTTTTAATCGCTGACCTCTTGCGCGCTCCAACATTTAACATGTTGTTTTTTTATGAATATTCATGAATTTTTAACAAGCCCTTCTATCTGGCTCTAAAAAGATAATTAGATACTTGGTACGCGTTCTTTAAAAGAAAAGAAATGCAAATGTAAAGGATGAATGGTATTAACTTACCTCGAAGCAGTGGCGAATGCTGTGAGCCAGGCCTGGAGAATTCCTTCAAAGAAGGTGAGTGGATTTTTCCTGGTGCTGGCGTAGAAGATAGTCATCAGGACAGCAAGATGGATGAGAAGCCCCATCACTACGGTCAGCATGTACAGGCCTAGAATAGGCACGATTTCTGACAAGTCCCCCATGCCGAGGACCTTAGCACAGATCAGACTCATGATACCCAACGGAGAGTACCTGGTGCAAGCATGGAGAAGATGGATTTTGTTGTTTTTGTTGTTTTATTTATCTACTTGAATTTTTTCGGGGGGGGGGGTGCAAAATGGCCTTTAATTTTTCCTTTCTACATGAAGCTTTATTTACAACCGCTTATTCTTCAAATGCACAGAATCATAAACATTCAATAGAGTTGTGGAGAATAGATACATCATCATCATAAGTAAACAAAAGCCAAACAATGGTTATCTGTGGGCTCCCTGAAACGAGGTACTATAATTAAATAATTGACATGTAATGAAAATATGCAATGAAATCAGTGCTAAATATTAAGGGCAAAGAAAAACAAAATAATAAAAAACTCATCATTCCAATACATTGAGTGTAATCAATACATTGTGAAATGAGCACCATTTCATGTTGTCTCGCTGCCAACACTCTGATTGTACCATACCATACCATCTACCCATTGCTCCTCGTTGGTGATACTCACTCTCTTCCCTTTCTTCATGAGAGAGAATCAAGAGCACTTTAAATGGTGCCTCAACGCTCACCTATTCCGGTAAACATTGGAGTAGCATGCGCCTGTGAATGTTTTTTTTAAAGGGGCTGTAGCATGGGAAATGCTGGTTGACGCCATCTACGTCTTCTTTTGATTTTGCTGTGAATCACCATCATCACCATCATCATCATCACTATCATCACCGTCATCATCATCGTTATCATCATCACTATCATCATCCGGGTCATCACAGTCATTATTAATTGTATCTCATTACGTACCACATGGTGATGTTGACAAGCTCCATAGTGAGCTCAGACAATATCCTGAAAAATTCCACCATGACATGACCGCGCTCTCCCATTCTGCTCAGCAGTACACCGAAAGGGATAGTGAAAACGAGGATACCTAAAGAATAAAAGGAAGAACGATGAGTCATTATATTTGAGCTTCCCTGAGCCCTAGCATGAAGAATGTTCTGATTAAGGGGTGATTCCCCCCCACTGTAGATTACGGACTTAACTCAATCAAAGGGAAGTGTGTGTGTAATTGGGTTTTGACAAACGTGTATCAATCAGATATGATTATTTACATTATGGACAGACCTTTAACGTCACGATCCGAAAGACGTAATATGACTGCACTTAATTATACAAAACCTTTAACAATGACAACATTGCCGTCGAGAAGGGGTTAATTGTCAAACGTCCTTAAAAATCTGACCTCCTTTTCCTTTAAAGCCTGTAATTCAAATTATGTCGGAAAAACATAATATGGCAGGATATCTTTAAAATGTAAACGCATCGAAATTCTTTTAAAGGCAAGGGGTGTAACATCTCCCATAACAAAAATATTAAAAAATCATATGTGATATTTCATTTAGACTGGCTTTGTCTTTAAGTGAATCTGACAACAATGTGGAAATTATTTTTCAAGAAAAGAATTATGATTCGATACTGGTGTGTGCTTGGATTAATTAACGAGGAAGAATAATATGTAGAGACTAGGTTGACAGACTGTATTATTGGATACTATCCCAATATTGACAGGTGTGGGTGGGCGATGTACTAAAATAATATTTCTTCTTCCGTGACAAAATTATGCTTGATATAATTTTGCCCACATAACCTTAAACGCCCATATGAATTTGAAACTGATCCAATATCTTCATAAATGTTCTGATCATTTTTCATATTGGACGCCTTCATGACTTTGGACATGATCCAAAAAGGATCCATAAAATTAAAATAATCCCATCCTTCCTAATCGGACGTAGAGTATCCAACAGATAACATGCATATTTGTAATGAATCTGAACCTGATCTGGTCATCGAGGATAACATTTTCTCCTGAAAACGTCATGACACATTATACTTGCATATATCATGGGTCTAAATTACATCTCTGTACGCGCGTAACTAGATACCGATAAAATGGGGGGGGGGGGGCGGGAGGGGGATCACATAGGGACACCAGCAGTTGGCGTGGAGGGGGAGGAGTGGAAAATACTTTAACACACGATTTCAACCAACAAAGGAATTTGAAGTTATAATTTAGGATTGTCATTTTCTCGCTTTGTATAGAGCACATACCATGTTAATATTATCATTATTAGCATTCATATTAATATTGATATTATTATCGTTACTATTATTATAATATTAAATATTCTTATTGATAATGTTTTGATATTATTATCATCATTGTTATCATTATTGTTATTATTCTTGTTATTATAATCATTTTCATCATCATTATCATTATTGTTATTTTTGTTATCATCATCAACTTTATCATTGTTATTATTATTATTATTATCATCATCATTATCGTCTTTGTTAGTATTATTATCATTATTGATGGCGCAGTTTTATTGTAACCTCATGTGCACCTTGCCTTACCTAGCACATTCATGTTGTTACTGTAGCCCTCCGTCCTAGCTATCACCGTCACATTTTTAGAGGAGCAAAAACTTGATTCCGAGGCGTTTTTCAAACGACAAACCGATCTGTATGTTTCATTTATAGCTTCATACTTCTCTACGGTCTTTTCTTCAGAGGAGGACTTCGCCTAAAAGTGGAAGAAATAGAAAGAAAGAAAAAGAATGGAATGTGATCCCTAGGGAAGTGGAGAGTGTGGCCTGTATAGTATGGAATAGTAAATGAGTCAAGGAACAGGGGTAACAATAACATTATCATTATTTATTTATTTTTTATTATCACGATCATTATTATTGTTATCATCATTATTATTATCATTAGTAGCAGCAGCAGCAGTAGTAGTAGTAGTAGTAGTAGTAGTAGTTGTAGTCATAATATTAGTAGCAGTTTTAATACAAGTAGTACTATAGGTTTTCCCGGCCAATTTCGCAGTTATTCAGTCTATTTTACATAAAGTTCGTTCAATTTGGAGCAAACATCATTATCGGCTGTAATTCAATGTATCTCATCGGAATAGGATTTTTTCATTAATATCATTCAAATTCCTTCCGTCTAGCGCGTGCGCCAAGATTCATTCAAATTTATCAGCAATTGCCGAATGGGCAGTCGATTTGGTATTAGATGTTCATTCAAATTAACATGGACGTTGGTTATGTAAGCCTGTATTATTCTGTCTATCTCAATCGCCTGAAATTGAAATGATATTGATTTATTCCGTTTTATTGTAGGTATCGGATGCACTTTTAACAGGGTATTAATGAAGATCTTTACCACTGTTAATATAAGATGTTTCTCTAATTTCTTCAATTCTCATAGCTCCATTAGATCAGATGGCTAAAAATCCACCAAATAAAAACTAATTTAGCGAAGACATATTGACTGGGCATAGTTCTCATTGTGCGTACAATTCAAGGACCAATAGATGGGGTTGAAGTTAACAATAGATACGAGCAGTATAAGATACGCGTAATGCTCTTGGGGTATGTTTATGCTCAAATTTTTCTGGCCAGAATCAGGCATCTGTTACGCGTTTAGTTCAAAACACGGTTGCGTCCTTTCTCACTTTTGTAGAATCACCGAAAAACGGCGATCACGATCGCCGATCGTTAACTCACAAAAAGGTGCGTTTACGATCGGCGATTCTGGGGAAGCATAAAAGCACAATCATTTGTAAACGCGTTTAAATGGGGTCAACGCGCTGGCCTCTAGTGGGTCTACGTAGCATGCGCAGTGCAGGTTTGCGAATCCAGCTGCAAGGTCACCCAGCGAGAATTGCCTGGAGGAGCCAGAGAAGTGAGCATAAACAGTACACCGTGGAACTGCGATTACGATGAGCGTTTACGATGGGCGTTTCACATCGCGACGGGTAAATTCTTTCGACTCTTCGAAAATATTCGTTGACGTTATATTTTGTTCAAATGTCGTTTTTTTAGGATTGACATGAGGGATGCGGCAAATAAAAAAATATCGAGTGCTTATTTTTTTCAGGTCACGGTTAGAAACAAAGCTCCACAAAGATCCAGAGATTGCAGTTCAGTTTCGATATCACTTTGGGAAAAAGTGCCCCCAAAGCAGTTAATATTTAAAAAACATCTTACCTGTTGAAAACACGCTTGTACAAGGTTGGACGGGAACAGATTCCTGTCGTAATGAAAGAGGAAAATAAGAGAAAATTTATTCTTAGGATCTTGGATCTTGGATTCTTTTCCTCCCAAATTTTCCGAAGAAGAGTTTTGACTGGAGGTGGTGGAGGGTGGACGATTACATTTTGGAGCGTTATCAACGGGCATATCTCCCAGGCCAATGACAAATTTGAATTTTAAAATTTTAAATTCCTGTGATGATTATTATTTTTCCATCGGTATTGTCATTATCGGATGAAAACAGGAAAAATATTCCCGGGAAGGAGGATGATCTTTTTTGCCAGAATCTCAATTGTCGGGTTTTTCAAGTTTGTGACTGAATGAAGTAAGTAAGGCATACATTTTGACAATATGTTGTAGCCACTAAATAGGTTCTGTTGTCAAAATACAAAAAGAACGATATAACATTAAGCAATCGATCGCCTCCATGCCCGAATATTTATGAAGTGACGGTTGCCCGAATTTAAGGCGATAATTGCTCATTTAAAACTATTGTTCACTTAAACTTATGGGCCCGAATTCACAAAGGAGGTTTGTCGACAAACCTTGGTTTTCGTACGTCATATGACGCGTTTTACGCGTTGTTTTACAAACCTGGTTTGTAAAGAACAAAAGGAGGTTTGGTGAAACAAAAGGAGGTTTGAGCTCAAACCTTGGTCTGAGCTCAAACCTTGCTTTGTGAATTCGGGCCTAAAGGTGTATAGCCAACACTTTCTGACTGACGTAAAGATAAGGCATGCTTTTAATTTAAATACGCATTGATTTGTTCCGATCAGATTTAGAAAAGTAGAAGGTAAAGGTCACTGATTTTGAAAATTGATTATTTTAGCAAATTATTAAGGCATAACCAATAAGCGAATTCGTGATTAGGATTTGCGCATGGGCAGATAAAGGTCATTCGTACCCAAATTGTAAAACTATTGAGACGAATACTCGGATCGTGCTTGTGAAATTTATGTAATCAGTATTCATTTATGCACCAACAGTACATTTATCTGATACACAGGTGGAAGTATTCTTCTCAAGAGGCAAATAAAAGGTATTAATGAAGCACCTCTTTATCTTTCTTTTTGTTTTCATTGAAATTATATTTGTGTTTGTATGCATCTTATTCAATGTACTTAAAATGTATAATCATGTAAAATGAAGAAATATTTGATACTTTATGTATATGATTATGTTTCATTTTGAAAATGCAGAAATAAAAATAAACAAACAAGCAAACAAACAAACCTCCATCCCTTTGGCAGTGATATGTGGGACGTATCCACCGTGTAAAAGATCTGTGGATATTTTGGGGTCATGCGTTCCAGAGCTATTTACGAACTCGCTTATTCAAATGACGGCCCGCGATATTAAAAGTTTCCATGGCCTCACTGGTTTTCTGATAACTTTTTAAAGTTCTTACACTAACAGAGTTGTTATCGTTCCCTGTCTGTGCTCTAGGGCTCATGGCCCATCGGTCTCCTTAGTTTTTGATATCGTGGGATATCGATCACATGGGATACTGTTTTAATGCGTTGTCGATCACCTTGGCTGTGAATCTACCGTATTGGCCAGAGTAATGACTACTTAGGACATTGACTGATAACATCAAGCAGTAGACGGGAATATTAGGGACTTTTAGATTGAGTGGACGAGAACACGACGAACGCCGACTGATCATGCGTGTCAACGTACTTAACTGCCCATGTTGGCTACAATTAGAAATCTTTTAGATTGCACTCGACGATATGCATGCAGGAAGTAACACAATAAACATCGCGGACAAAGAAAGAGGACAAAATATACAGTTCCTCATTCTACCCTCAACAAAAGAACATCCCTTCACTGCTAATATGTAAATATGTGTAGAACAGGTGAATATGCATGCATGTGACACCTGTTCTACACATTTTTACATAATAACAGGAAAAGTGATGTTCCTTTGTCTACCTGAGGAACTGTATATTTTATGCGCACGCGGCATACTAGTACCTTTCAGCATGTAAAGGCGCTATATAAATTTCAATATGTATGCATGTACTAGATTTAGGAAAAATCAAGGTTGACGCATTCTCGATCGCCGACTGAGACAACATAACGCATGCGCAGTGACTTAAAATGACGTCAAACGTTGCAGTCAAAGCTGTCGACGTGCAAATCTAAAAGTACCTATTATTTGTCTGCAGTACGATTGTATAGCAGACAAATGTTGTTTGTATCGTTAATGAATGCATACTTACGTTGGGTCCGGGGCTGTGCCCCGATGGAATGTAATTTGCATAAGCAGCTCGTACAGGTGTGCGAGCTAATTCTGCCACGGAGACCAGGGCGTGGCATGAATTAGTGTGTAATTGAATCATTATAGCTTGAACTTTCAACGAGACAACTTTTATTTACAATAAAAGAGCGTTGTGTTATGTAATGTTACGACATGACTGTGTTTTATTAAGGTTTTCCAGAGTTTTTATGCTCGTTGAGTTTTACCTCTGTTTTTTTAACCTGGACCATGATCGGTCCGGTTTCCAGTGAAGGAAACGAGAAGAAATGTTTGTTAAACATTCATACTGAATAAACGGCCGGCTCTCAGTAGTCGTTGTCAGGCTATTCCACAATAATTGAAGTGTATTATTGTATTATTTGTGTGTATTGGGAGTCAAGAATGGATGACAGACGAAATAATATGTGAGATTATAGGCCAGACTGTCATTTTAACTAGAACAGCTAAAGACACTAGGTTATGGAGAACCCGTGTCTCAAGGTCCCGTCCATTATCGCCCCAGCGGCCTCCAAGTTAAGGCCGGCTCACACTCTGACGAATAGGGGGTACCTCAAGATACGTTAAGCTGCGAATTGCAATTTTGAATTTCCCGGCAATCATCGTGTGTTGCCTTAAATTGTCGTTGACGAATCCGCTAGCGACCGAAGACGGCCGAAATTATCAGTCGCCTTCGCCGACAAATTTGCAGCATGTTACAATTTTTGTGGTGGCAAAAAAAAAATCGTTGTGAATCCGTTCAGATTTGGTTGGAGACCGCAGCATGTTTTTATTACGTCAGTTTGATTTTATTAGACTGTTCGGCACGATGCAATTCTGAATTTATATCAAAAGAAAATGTCCCCTGTTCTTTGTCAAAGCTGTTTCATCATCATTGAGGACGGAGCTATAGGGTCAGGCTGCAATATGCCTCGCCACGACCTACCGTTCCTTGCCGCCAGCCAAACCGCTGCCAGCCGTCTGACCTCGTTCCTTGTTGCCGGGCTCTCTCGAGACATCGTCACTCGCCGCCCAGACAACGTCCGATTTTGGTCGCTAGACTCCATTCACTGCCGCAACCATTCGTCCCTTGCCGTCGTGATGTCGCTTAAGGTCGTTCCCACCCGTCAGCAAATCTTGGTTTCACCCCTATTTCCGTCGCTTTGCCGCCAAATTATTGTGATTTTCACGTCCGTCGCCTTTCGCTGGGTCTTTGCCGCTACTATGTGTAGCTACCATAGTAGTAGTAGTAGCTGTCTGTCGCGAAGCGACAATGACCGCCTTCACTTTCATGAAGGCCGCTTGCAAAGGTGCATGGGTAGGTCTTCTTATCGAGTCACTACACAAGTCCCGTCCTGTGGTCCACACAGGCTTTGGCACGGCAATTCACGGCTTCCAGGTCATCTTGGGTGCATGGCTCTGGCAGGAGTGGGCAGACTAGCAGGTGTTCCATTGTTTGTTCCTGGCCGCATTCACATGATGTTTGTTCGTCCCTAGACCCCACCTCTGCATTAGGACTCTGCATCGACCATAGCCAGTTCTTATGCGGTTGAGGCTAAGCCAGGTAGGCCAAGTCTCACTGGAGCCGGTTGCGAGGGATTCCTTCGGGCTGAGGGAGAGTTTATGTGGAGTGGTCTGAAGGTGGTTAGACCACAAAGTCATCCTTTGGTTGTGAGGGCTGGTATTAAGAGGCTCTACAGAGTGCAGAAAGCTGTGTCTGGCCCACTGGCTGTTGTTCGAAGAGTGGGTGGAGTGGATTGTTTTCTTGTTTGTCCTTTTCTTTCTGGGACAGGACCAACCTTCTGACGTGTGGAGCGGCAATACCGCAGAGCAGGTAGATGTCTTCTACTTTAGTTGGCCTAAGGCAGCCAGTGATCGCTCTGCAAGATGAATTTAGAGCTGGGTCGATCTTGGGTGCATGGGCCGACCTACTCCATACTGGTGATGCATACTCCGCAGCAGAGAAGCAAAGCGCGAGGGCTGTCGTCCGGATTGTTCTGGCATCAGTCCCCCAGTTGGTGTTGGCTAGCTTCTTAAGGATGCTGTTGCGGGCTCCAACTTTTGCCTTTGGGTAGGTACCGGTAGCTCTTGCAAGTTACAACGGCACGCTCTCGGGGAAAATATTGTATACAAAGATACACCGTCTTGAGAGGTTCTGGTTAAAACTATGCGCAAGAGGCGACTCCAATAGTACTATTTGCTGAGCGGCGCAGCCCCCCGAAGGAAATGGTACTATTGGAGTCACCGAGGCCCAAAGTTTTTAATTAGGCCTATATACCTCACTTAAGAAATCCAGCCATCTGATTGGTCGAAATTGGAGTCGTGATTTTAGCCATTCCCGTGACACGAAAAATGCCGATACCGGTTAATAGTCCAAGAGTGAGATGCCTCAAAATTCCGGTTACCATAAAAAAAAAAAAAAAGGGTAAAATGTTGCTGCGATACCCATAGGTTTACGTGTTAAAATGTTCTTTCTGCGAGCGCAGACACCATACGGTGCTTTTGTCTGCGATTCCCAAATGATAGACACTTTCAGTCATTTTTCATGCAAAGATTACTCAGATTTCCGTGATGTTCTAACCAATCTTTACTCAATAAAAGGATAAGGTAAGAATTCTTGATAGATTTTTGTTTCAATTCGGCCTATAAAAGACATATCGACTGCTATAATATTCGAAGTCTGGCTGCTTTATATGCTCGCGCGCCGTCCACCCAGGCGCGCCTCATGTTCATGGCTAGTCTAGTTCTGGACCCTATATTGGTTGTTGTTATTCGCCGACTATAAACGTTAAGCCGAGTGTTGGCGCGATCCTTAGTGATTGCGCGATCCCCACAAATACCGGCGGTCTGTGGGGATCACGTAATTACTAAGGATCGCGCCATCACTCGGCTTAACGTTTAAAGTCGGCGAATAACAAAAATCAATATAGGGTCCAGAACTAGACTAGGTCATGGCAGGAGGTGCGCGCGTTTCCTCGAGCCTATAAAACAGCCAGGCCTCTCAAAGCAGTTGATATATCTATATCAGTACCTCGAAAAGAAGGCGTTGTTGTGTTATACCCTGCAACAAAAATGTATCTTTGAAAAAAAAAGGGGAAAAAAAGAAAAATCAAAATTTAAAAAAATTACAATTCCCCCCCCCCCCCGCAAAAAAAAAAAAAAAATCAATCAAAAAAATCAACTACCAAATAGCACTCTCAAAAAGTAATTTACTCCAAAATAGTACTCTCAAAAAGTATGTTACTCCCAAATAGTACTTTTTCAGAGCTACCTTTAAATAGTTAAAATATTTCTGGTCACGTGACGAGCTCTCAACCAATCAAAAACCAATAAATTTTTGACGCAGGATATAATACATATAGATAGATAATGAGAACAATACCTCAGGATACCAATGAGCGAATCGAGGGGATTTGCTGAATCACTTCTTTCATCAAGGTCGATGCCATGTTCATCCAGGAATTTCGGCTTACCAGGACGAATTGCGACGACGACGATGATTCCGATGAAGACAGCGATGCACGATGTCGTGAAGTAGTAAACGAGTGCCCGTGCTCCCAATTTCCCACAGGATCTGGTGTCAAGACTCGTCAGACCTTGACATGAAATTCGTGAATATAAAGATTTAATGTGGCTCCCCTTTTATTTGTAGGTTAAAGTATTGCTCACCCCAACGCGTTGAGTATGGAATAAAGATACTATGCACTGGATTGTCATGACGATAGCATATCTTTTGCCTCAATCTTGCTTTAAAAAAAGATATATATAAAAAACACTATACATCAACATTCTAAACTGGACTGCGCACATGTCAAGTGACTTAAAAACTGCTCGTCTGTTTATAGACTGGACTTAAATGCATTTGAGGTCATATTTTGAAATCAATAATTCTGATGAGAAAGTAATGCTATATTCCCCTATCGATATTACGAAAGCTCTCAAATCGTTATCATCTTCAACAAAAACCAGCATTCTCTTCAAAGATTTGACATGTTTGAAAACGTAAGAGTAATATGTCCTTTCGCTTTTTCGGTTTGTTTCAGCTCCGATAAAAAATGATTGGTACTGGAATAATTGGCTCTTTAACTCTTGCCGCGTCATACCAAAAGGCGTTAAAAGACGGGAGTTGCTGCTACCTTGTTTGGCGTTCAACAATAAGGGATAGAGCAACGTCGATCTGGCTGCTCAGTGGCTGCCGGGCTCACGATCAATTGGGCAAAAACAATTTCCATTTTCGGTTTAACTTGATAACATTTGGAGTGGACTTTAAAGACCGTCAATACTACTGGGCAAGAAGGGATTAGACCACACAGTGAGGTCACTGACAGGTGGCTATCTCATTAACTCAGCTCTCAACTAACATAAGAAAAAGAGGATCATGGGGGACCAACAGGCACCGATTGGGGAAGTTTTCTATATAGAGGGAGCAAGGAGGTACAAGTAGGACAGTGGGGCTTTAAAAGAATATTATTAGTATTATTACTTTCATCTTACCCGTGATCAAACTCGAGACTATCAACGGTAGGACGAGCAACTTCAAGAGCCGGACCAGGATATCACCAGGTAGACCAATCGCTTTAATCACATTTTCTGTGAGCTCAGCCTTCCTTAAGACACTCCCGAAGAAAACACCAATAATCACCGCAATCAGGGTGAGCGCCAAGAGCAGGTTGGCCCTCATCCACTTCAGTGCAACCATGCCCATGGACTTCCAATACTTCCAGTTCTTCCAATCCCTCGGGTTCACCGTGGAGTCCGACGTAGTCGCTGGGGTCTCTAATTGTGCCCCACTCTCCGCTTCGTCGATTGCTATTGCTTTCTCATCAGCCATGCTGCGAATTCGTCTCTGTCTTGAGAAAGAAGTTGATGGAATTACACGTAAGATGAGGCATGTAGTAAATGGATACGAACATGAGGAGCGATATATATATATATATATATATCTAATAATTAAGATTATATATATATATATATATATACATTTATATCCTGCATCAAAATTTATTGGCTTTTGATTGGTTGAGAGCTCGTCACATGACCAGAAATATTTCAACTATTTTAAGGTTGCTCTGAAACAGTACTATTTGGGAGTATAAGTACTATTTGGAAGTTGACATTTTTGTTTGATTTGTTTTTATTTTTTTATTTTTCTTCTTCAAATCTTAATTTGATTATTTGTTTTTCTTTCTAATTCTTATTCGATTTTTTCTTCTTCTAATTTCAATAATTTTTTAAATATTTTTGAAATAAAGTTTTGGTGCAGGATATAAAACAATTATGCTATGCCTTCTTGTTGAGGTAAAGTTAACTTAAAACTATGGGCGTTCGTGACTCCAGTAGTACAATTTGTTTCGAGGCAACGCTCCTCAGCAAATAGTACTATTGGAGTCACCTCGTGCGCATAGTTTCAAACTGAACCTCTCAAGACAGTGTATAATTTTGTATCATATTTAATGTGTGGATAAAGCTTTGTGAATAACATTGCCGCGCGTACTAAACACTTTGTAAAAACCACAGTAAAAGCCACATGATTAAACCACGGTTACCAATGCACTCCCCTTATTTCTGTGAAAACAAATTTTATGTATTGCAGTGAACGAAAAGAAATTAAGATTAATCATATTTATAAAAAAAAAAACTGTTTATCTTTAGAATAAGTGATAAACAATGACTATCGCTATATTTGAAAATATTAAAAGATAAGAGAGCCTTTGATTATCTAATTATGCATTTAAGAATTAAAATTAAAATTGTTGGATGTTTGGTTTTTGTATTGCCTGGATATATATTATTCCATCATCATATTATTTTTTAAAATATTTTGTTTACGAATGGCAACTGCTCGCAGCGGCAACAAAGGACTTGTGCGTATTAACTGAGCTCAGTCTTATAAAATACAGAAATGTAAACATGTTCCGTTCCGAACGGTTTTCATAACACTACAGTCTATTGGGGAAAACGAGTATGGTAAAACCGGTCACTCAAAGATTTTTATTTTTTTGAGGCACTTCTTGATCATTTTGAAGCGCGATTTTTTTAGGGCTTCAATATTACACCATATCACAGACACTGGTAACATGTAGGACCGTGTATCTCAGATTTAACATTGTTAAACGATCCCTTTAATTGTGATGCAGTGATGTATAATGAGGGAGAGCAGTGGTCTCGTAATTCGGTGACCCGGGTTCGAAGCCAAGGCGATGCGCTAGTGCCCTTTGGTAAGGCAACCCTCATCAGGGGCGGCGATCCCGGGGGGACGGGGGGACGGGGGGAGGGGACACGTCCCCCCCGCTCAATTTTTTTAGGGGGGGGGGGGGTCGTCCCCCCCCTGGAAATTTGAAAAAGTGCAAAACAAATTGTATAGCATATACTGAATAATGACTGCAACACACTTTTAGGCTCTGGAAGGCCCAAGAGTGCAGCGTTTAGACTAATAAAATTGCAAAAAAATCTCGCTCGGTCGCTACGCTCCCTCGCATAACATCCTCGTAAAAAAAAAATTCGCATTTCGTCCCCCCGGTCATTAACAGAAATCGCCGCCCCTGATCCTCATTACCAGGTCCCTCATAGAGGACCTAAAGCCGTCTGCCGTCTGGTTGCTTAATTACAAGCATTTATGCTTTTTTAGCAGTCAGGTAAATTAACCATCACATCCATAACCATCACATCCATTCGTTTCTATCATTATGACAAAATAATCGATTTGTAAAAACTCATTTATTATTATTGGATAGGCCAATCTATTTTACGTTTTATTGAAAAGGCTTTCCTGATTTATTTCAGCTTGTAAATCTGATTTAGATTATTTAATAACGAAATAAATAGACAAATTAATTGAAAACAAATATATAGTTTTGAAGACAGAACTATGTCAAGAGATCAATAATTATTTTTAATCAATGACATTAATCTTGATTATCAATTCAACATCAAAAAGATAAAATGTGTCAAAAGGACTTGTTACACAATATAAATATGTGACCAAAACTAGGTTTTCAAATCCTTCAGACGTTAATAATAAATTAAGTCAACGAACGGATGGCAACGTTAATTACAATAATTGTTATCATAATAACTCCCTTCATCTGTCATAAATCACTGCACATTTGGCAATAAGTGCTTACTTTAAATTTAGTTCTCCAAAATCATACAAGTTCACAATTACTTAGGGGATATGTTAGAGCTCGCAATTTCTTAGCATAAGTATGATGTAGACAAAATAAGTCTCAATAATCAAAAGCAATGATAGAAATACTCACACTGTATAACGGGAAATGATTTAGGGTTCTTGGAGAGAAACACACGCTCAACCTGTTTCCCCAAAGATGTTTGGCGAATGAAGTGCTGAGTTAGACAAGTGATTATCAATTTCATAATGTAATTAGAGAAAGGTATGATATTCTTCGCGATTTGCGCATGCGTGGTCTAAACTCAAATAAGGAAAACAAGGAGTATTGATGCAAAACAGATAAAAGGGAACCCCAAGACAAGGAAAAGAAGAAATGGGGAAGTGGTGTACATGTAGTCATAGGCTCCATGCCAATAGATTATTGATAAAACGTCTAGTCAGATATGGCTTTCCCTTTCTGACATTATTATATTTTTAATTTTACATTGTTCCGCATTTTATGACAATATTTTTAATTTTACATTGTTCCGCCTTTTATGACAATATTTTCAATCGATATTATTCCTTCAGGTGCTTTTACAGTAATTCATTTCTGCATATAAATAGTGGTGATGTCGTGGTCTAGTGGTTCATTCACTTGACTCTCAATCCCAGGGTTATGGGTTCCAATCCAAGTCGGCATTAACGTTCTTCGGCAAGACATTAATCCACAGCTGGAACACTGGATATATACTGGGACCGGAAATAGAATACTATTTCCACTACAAGATAAATTATTTGGTTTAAGATGTTCAAATAATCATGCATTGAATTGTATACTAATTGTGGTTCGACAGAGGTTGTATACTTGTAAAATGAATTAGCAAAATTGTCTGATTTTGATAATATCAGAGTTTCACTTATAAATTATTTCAGAAATCAAAAGTATATTGAATTCGAATTGTAGAAATAATACATTCACAATAAAATGGTTTTAATTCAGGACTTTATTTATAAAAACGGATATTCGTCTATATTTTTGGCCTGCATAATTATTTTTAAATGAAGATTCCTGTTATGACACAAATTCAGTTTAGGGGAACTACGAGTGATTTAATATCATCTATTTCTTTGTCTACCCTTTAAGGAAGAGGCTCATCAGACTTTTGTTACATAGTAAATGGATAACACGGGAAGTGAAGTGAGTAAATCAATGGATATGTCCGGAGTTAGCGTTTGACCTCAAATAACCAATGTTTTTTCTTTCTTTCTTTTTCTTTTTTTTTTACAAAGAAACGTCGCCTCGCACTCATTACTGTGCATTTGACAGTTAACTACCCTCAAAGCGCGGTGATGTAGAGCACCGTGAATAAAAGTTTTGTGTTCCTTTTGAAGAAGAAAAATCCGCCCGTTTATTACAGAATGCACTTATGTGTTAGTAGCTTCATGGTTGATGCATACATGAATGATTACATAACTTTTATGAAGGCTTAGCGAGTTTTGGGGCGCCTTGTCATGGCTGTGGGCGCTCGGTCTCATGTTTCAGGGTGGTGCTATGCGGCCTTTCATCGGTGCAATAGGGACCTTTCGATTTGCACGAAGACAAAGTGGATTGCTACGGTCGACGTCCTTTTAATGCACTGCCTTGAATGGACGTCACACGTATCAGTCCACGCAAATCTAAAAGTCCCTAATGATGGGGCTTGCCTGACGTAGCAGTAACTATTGTGTTAGTTGGTGGGTTTTTTATTTATTTATTGTGGTATAAAAAACATTGTACATGGCAGCCTTTCGGCTGAATTGAGTGCAATTTACATAAGTATTAACACAAGGATACTGCACAAAATACAAAAGTATTTCAAAGTCATTAAAAATAGTACATTCAGAACAAACAATTATAGGTACACCTTAGATCAAAGAATATTGATGGTGGGATAACGGAAGTGGTTAATGGATGTGGAAAAATAAGTGTTTTATATGACTTTAAAAGCAAATTCATAGGAGGAATATAACAGTTGATTAAAATTAGGATCAGTGCTAAGAAAAATTATCTGTTTTGCATGCTTCAAAGTAGGCCTATTGTCATGTGGGTGCAAGGTACATGTATATGGAGAACAAAATGGAAGTATAATTCACCTAAGACGCTTGGAGAGTGAAATTATAGTTTCACTTCCTATTATTGGCTAATAGAGAATATGGTTGGTAATGCAATATTGAAATTAATATAATCCGTATTAACAAAACAGTAAACCTTCAGTAAACAATATAAGTTTTCATTCAAGCACATCTATAAGATAACACTTTGATTTACGTATATGCTCAGCATTTATGAACAAACGATCTGTCTTTACATTATTCCAGTTTTTAATTGAGTAACCTCACAATGAAGGGGAGTGCGCTCTTTCTTAGCGCTCATTTTTGCATTTGATTTCGGAATAGTCATTAGCGTTGCGCAGGTTGCGGGAAGTGCGGGAAGCTCGCGTAGGGGGAGCCAGTGATAGAAGGGGGCGTTTCCTTTGTGAGGTTACTCGCAAATTTCTTTGTTAACCTTTCCCTCCTCTCCTCCAGTGTGGGAAGGTCAAGAACATTGAGGGCATCATCATAACTCGTGTATCTTTGGCCAAGCATGAGGCGACACGCTCGTTTCTGAATTCTCTCTATCAATTTCTTGTCTGCCCTAGTCAAACCTGAATGCCAAACAGGTGCGCAATATTCGACTTTCGGGCGCACGTACGAACAATACACAACTTTCAGATCCTCAACAGGTGGCCGAAAGCCTTTCAAGATACGCATCATGTGTAGCCTCATGCTTGCCGCCTTGACCATTTCTGTGACATGATATGACCATTTTAAGTCCTCCTGTACAAACACACCCAAAAGCTTAATTAGTTGTACTTCACTCATTTCCAGGTCACCAATTTTTAATTTTGGGACGGTTGCCTGGTTTCTCATGAACTGAACGGTCATGAAGACACATTTGCTAGGGTTCAGTTTCGTGCTATTGTCTTTGGTCCATTTCTCAAGATCATTTACCACTTCTTGGATTTTGGGTTGATCCGTTGCCTTCCTACATTCAAGCAGGGAGAGGTCGTCGACGTAATTCCAACATTGAACATCACTGTCCTTGAACACGTCGTTGATAATGCAGAGAAAGATAAGCGGCCCAAGTCGAGTGCCCTGGGGCGCACCTGCCGAGATCTCCACCCAGTCAGAGAGCTGTGACATGTAGCGCACACATTGTTCTCGATTGGAAAGGAAGCTGGAAATCCATGCCACCAAAGACGGGGATGCCCCCATTTCGAGTAGTTTCCTAATCGCTAGTCCATGATCTATCCTGTCGAAAGCTTTTGGTTGGTGGCATTGTTGCCCCCAGCCTGAACTCGGTTGACTTCACAATCTGGTGCAGTCGATCTTGATCTGGTTATGCACATACTATAACTGGATTATTGTGCACCATCTTTGGGGTGTTGCCAATTTGAGATATGTTTTCCAAATCATTAGGAGTAGTCACAACAATGTAATTGTTTGGCCAATTATCAAACGATAATTATGTGTCTTTTGTATTGTTTTTTTCCCTATTTATTACCTTGAATATATGTTTGTTTATTTGTTGCTTGTGGAGGAGAAAATATGGAGACAAAATCCACATTTACCTTTTGACTTTTATAGTCTGTTAATAGGCCTACATTAAAAACAACAAACATTACATTCCTTTTTTTTATATAAACATTGAGACTAAAATTAAAACTAAAATACTATTGATGAGAGCATGATCTCTTTAAAGGTACTCTGTCCCATTTGCAGGCCCCAAAAATGAAAAGGTTAAATTCCAATGACATTTGAAAGACAATGCTAATTTAGAACTTCCCTCAAAACAGAAGGGCTTGAAAATGGCTTTTAGTGGGAAAATAACGACCGTTAGTTGCGCGTTTTGTGCTGCACAAAGATTCAATCAGTTTAATGTTGGCCATCACCAGTAGTGGGTTATTGATATAGGCAAATACTCATGCACCTGTTACAGCTCATTTTATGTACATGTTATTACCAAAGAAAAAAATCAGTCAGTCACTCAATAGTGTCTGACAGTGAAGTCTAGAAGGTAAAAGGGGTTTCGTTGCATAATTTGAATACGAGGACACTAGTACTGCTAATGTTTAAATTTCACAGATAGGACGTACATGACATATTCATAATTCCTGCAAAGTTCAATAGAATTTGATGTTGGCTGCAAAAGAAACATAGTATATGTAAAGACAAGAGAGGATAAATGCCTCGGGGGTCCATTTGAATAACTTACACAACATATTAACAAGTCAAATAAAAAGAGGGCTAAAAATATAACTTGAACGTAACCATGGAAACTTGCAGAACCAAAAATAATCCACCGGGGTGACATCCTGTGTTTCGGTATACCTGGTTTTTAAACAAAACAACATTTCCTGTCTCCTTCCTGTCAATTCATAATCACTGCAAGAAGGAATAGCGAAGGTCAATCTCGAAATGTTACAACACAAAGCCATGTCAACATAAATTATTAGTTTTGAAGTTAGTGTTGCTGCATACAAACAAAGATGGTTGTGTCACTTCGTGAAGAGGTCTAAATGTATTATTCGCTCTAGCTTTGCCAAAGCCACGAATGTGCATTACTAGAAAATATTGCTAGTAGTATATGTCAGAGAGTGAAAATAAGTTAAATTTTAACGCTTGTTCTGTCCGATGCCGAAATATTATCATCTAAGTTCGGGATACCAGTAGGAAAGCCGTGCCATAGATGTGGATCTGACAAATCAAATTGGTACTCTTGGATGAATGTGGTCGTTTTTATATGATTGGATAATTACAGGTTACTACGTCATAGTCTCTACTTAAACAACATGCGAAGTTTGGTTGTTGGTTGTATTTGTGTGTTCACGCTTGTAGCTATTTCACGAAGCGCAGGTAGGAATCAATATTTATGTCTGATTGATTGATTGATTTTTATTCGCTAAGCTTCCAACATACAACAATATAGAGTACCGAAGCTGTGACGTCATACAAATCTATTTTTAGAATTTCTCTATTTTTTTCTTCATTTTCGGAAAGAGCATCAAGTTAGGAGCCAGAGTAAATAACACTGAGTTGCTATGGGAAATATTTTTATTTAGATGGTCATATCTCAGCCAATTACATATTCAATTACTTTTCGACATTTGGACATTATTGTTGATGCTCTTTCAGAAAACGAAGAAAAAATTGAGAAATTTTAAAAATAGATTTTTGATGACGTCACACTTCATCACTCAAGAATATTCAAGAATAACAGATCAAAATTAAGTCATCTTAAACAGGATAACCCACGAAAGCTCAAGAGCTTATTTACAGTGAATAAATAAATATCACGGGATTGATAGTAAATACAAGTTTTATGATATTCCTTCGTTTGCCCTCTCTCTTAATTTTGAAAATGTACAAATATTCTCTATTTCTTGTTGTATGCAATTTCTCAAATGTTGTACGTCCAACAATTTTGGCTGACCATGTCTTATCCAAGATATATCAGTTACAATGAGTGAAAAAATAGATGAATTAGTGAATAACTAATACCTTGATATTAATTACCCAAATTGGCTTTTTCAAATAAATTTCTTATGACCTTCAATCTCTTTTTTATTAAGCATATTCATCTTTGGCTTGATGATGGTAATGATTATTTGGAATGATGACGATTGCTGAAATGAAAGTAGAGTTAACGCTTAATTTGTTTTTGTACATTTAAAAAGGTTATAGCAGGGCACAACCAAATGGAATTCGACTAGTGGGTGGAAACGATCAATATGAAGGACGAGTTGAGATCTTCTACCTTGGTGTCTGGTCCACTGTGTGTGACGATAACTTCTATGCCGAGGCAGCTAACGTACTGTGTAGGATGCTGGGTTTCACCTCGGCCACTAGTTCTTACTGCTGCTCTAAATTCGGACAGGGATCCGGGGAAAGTATGTTTAGTAATTTCTACTGCGAAGGACACGAAGCTAATATCTCGGAATGCAGATATCGTTTTGATTCTGCGGCGGTAGTTTCCTCTTCCGATTCGAAGTACTCATGTGATCATTCGGAAGATGTTGCTTTAGTATGCGATCCAGGTGAGTAGGGCGTGTTTTTTAAAGCAAGTTTTATCACATCTTCGTTTTATTAACATCCCGTTCCGATTGATTATGCTCTCGGGCAAATGCCATATCTATACTTGAGTGATCTCTGATTAAACAAAAAACAGGCCATTTCTTTTTCAACATATTTTCCCTTCCGTAGGGTTTTATTATTATTATGTAAACAAAGAACAAATTTATAAATGATTGAGTATGATGTTTGTAATACAAATTAAATCTAATCACGACACATGAAATGATGAACAAATATAGCAAAATATATATTTATCAAATTTCAATTGTACATATTTTACAAAAATACTCAAATACTTGGTAAACAGAAACTTTTTTTCAGGAATTTTTTTTTCTTTTTAATTTGTTCGTGCAATATATATTTCCATATCATAATTCGATTCGATTGTCACCATAAACGATTGTCTTGGCTTTTATTTCATCAAAATCTATAGGGCTAGGGTCATTGTTAAAAAAAAAGGTTAGGTTTAGGGTTAGGGGTAAAACATTTTATTTGTCCAGGTTCACGGTGATATAGTGTAGTACATTGCCTAGGGAGCATCTGTCGCCCGAGCCTGCGTCGTAAAAACCTTGATTTAACTATCTTTTTAAACACTGGTTTCACGACGCATGTGCTTTTCTTGTATATGCAATAATTAGATAATCGTTATTTTTGTCTCTTCTTGGTCATGCATCATGTTCGCTTTCCTCCTTCTTTTTGCAGGCAACGTTGAAAGCAACTCGTTTGACATTCGACTCGTAGGTGGAGAAACTCCATTTGATGGCAGGGTGGAGATTTACCACGAAGGCTCCTGGGCGACTGTCTGTGACGAACGTATACGCACCCAAGAGGCAAACGTCCTGTGTAGGATGCTCGGGCACATCTCGGCCAGTAGCTATCACTGCTGCGCGGAATTCGGTAGAGGGGTTGGCGATAACGTGATGAGGGATATACAATGTGAAGGGAGCGAGTTTAATATTACGGATTGCGAGTTTAGTCATCTTCCACACCAACCCGGCTACTCTTCATCTGATGGTACGGGCGAGTACTGCGACCATTCGGATGATCTAGGACTAGTATGCATACCAGGTAAATAAAGTTAGTCCATGTAAAACAAGAAAATGGAAGAGAGGCAAAGGGTCCATACTGGGGAAAACCCCTGTTTTTACAACGACACTTTGAAGAGGCAGTTAAAATTAATTCCAGCCGTTCTTAGAAAAGCCTCATATAGAGCCTCACAGAAATGACGTTCTATAGCATCAAATATGGCAGAAACAGAGCGCCGTCAAGCTGTTGAGAGCGATGTCGAGAATTTCACAGCAATTTGCTCTCATGAATACAAGGTATGTGGCTTCCGCAGAGCCAGTTCAGAAAACATTGGATGGCTATCGTTATCGACACGACGGACTGCCATCAATGTAAAGAGAGAAAAGGCGAGAATTGTGTTGTTTATTCAAGGTTTTGTATAAAAAGACTAACTTTCCGACGCAAAAAAACAACAACCAAATATATATTTTTACCGATTTATTTTTCATCAAAATGCAGGTGAAGTACGAATCCGGAACGGTTCAAAACGCCTCGGTCACCAGAAGGGCAGAGTAGAACTGTTGCAAGGACACAAATGGAAAGCTTTCTGCACCGAATCCATGGACCTCAATCTCGCCATCGTCCTATGCCGGATGCTTGGAGAACATACCGCTAAGTCCTACTATGATATGGAGTTGTTGGACAATGAAGAGGGCGCTGTTCTTAACGTCACCTACGTGTGTCAGGGAAACGAAGACAGTGTTGCTGAGTGTGAGGAGCAGAGCAAAGCGACTGTCAATTGCAGTAGGGACCAACGGATAGCAGGGATTACGTGCGCCAGTCGTAAGTTAAAAATATCCCTTTTCCCTTCAACCTTTCCGCACCACACTTTAATATCCAAAGACTCGAGAATTAAAATCCCTCCAGAATATACCCCTGGGTCCCGGTCATATCAAGAGTTCCTATTGGTCCAAATTAATCGCAATTCCTTCAATCAATCGCACGTTTGCAGTCTCTTATTTTACAACAGTTGCGATTGATATAAACTCTTTGTAAGACGGAGCCTTGGTTAGAAATGTGAAATGGACTTCGTAAAGCGAGACGTGGAAATAAATATGACGTCGCATGATGTATGCAATGACACGAGACATTTGAAATATTAAAAAAAAGATATCACAATGTGACAAGAGGTTACATTAAATGAGACCCTCTTTTTATGCGAAATTTGGTTCCAACTTAAAATACAAAACTGAGAAAGTTCTGAGTTCTTGGAAAAAACAATAATGTTTGATGATCCTTATTCACAACGTCAAATTCTAATGAAACGTGTTCTAGTTGTAATATTGCCTTATGGGATAATAGATTCACTATCTAAACATCCGAGTATAAAAGTTTCTTGTGATTTATTAAAATTTAAAAGCTGCGACTATAGCATATGTTGGCAATAAAATCCTGGTTCCCCAAATACAGCCCGTAACCAGTGCAGTAAAGCGCCTTCTATTGTGTAACCCTCTTGTTTGTTGTACCTCCCATCATTTTTCAAATATTTCAACTATAATCTTTTTAAATCATAGTCCCAGTCCGTCTTGTCTCCAAGAAGGACAACGAAGGAAGAGTCGAGGTCTACCATGGAAGATCATGGTCTGCAATCTGCTATACATCGTGGAACATACAAGCCGCCGACGTTGTCTGCCGAATGTTGGGCTTCTCTGGTGCCTCTGCGGCTTTCCGTGACGAGGAATTACTTGAAGCGCCCTCTGCGAGCATCCTGTATGAGAGTATCGAGTGTACCGGAACGGAAAGAAACCTTGCCCATTGCAACATGTCGGAGTCTCGGCGGGGAAGGTGTGACCTCGATGGATGCGCAGCTGCTGGGTGTGCCGGAGAGGTTAATGGAGTTTGAGTTTGAGTTTTAGTTAGAGTTAGAGTTAGAGTTTTAGTTTGAGTTTGAGTTTGAGTTTGAGTTTGAGTTTATGAACAACAAAAATTATAACAAGTAAAACAAACATAATGTATCAAGCATGACTACATAAAAGATAACAATATAACACAAGATCGATAACATTATGATTATAATCTTCATCATATTATAGCTATATAATAGTACGGGGTAAATGGAGCCCTATCAAATAAAAAAAGATATGCTAAACAAGAAAACGAGGTATCAAACAAACATAGGGTAAAATTACCTATGTTTCTCTTATTCTATTATATGAAATAAGTATTTTAGTTACCTTTGTAGGCCAACACGTGTAAAGTGCCTCCATGGTATTGGGACAGCTGAAAATTCAAATTCCAGATTCATTTTCTACAACAATTAATATTCATTTTTAAAGACTTTATTTCGTTAAATATTGTAGACAAACTAATGAACAACATATTTTGAACTTCCCGCTTATAAGAGATCACGCGAATTCGTTTGTTGACCGTTTAAGCCTACATTAGCAATCTATCCGTATTCTGCAAGAGATATATCACTTGATAAGAAATTGATATATTCATATTTTGCCCTAGTTGAGGTACCAATGCGACTGTCGGGAGGAGCGGATTTTCATTCGGGAAGGGTCGAGCTATTCTACTACGGTTCCTGGGGCACGATGTGTGCTGCAGACGACCTCAGCACGACCTCCACGCCGCACTACGCCATGAACATCGCAAACGTGATATGCCGGATGCTCGGGTTCCCGAGGGCGTTGTCTTACGAGTGCTGCGGACACTACGGACAAGGTCTCGGAGGCATCTTCCTGGATACTCTCAAATGCACTGGCAAGGGAGCCAACATCCTCGAATGCCCGCGGAGCGATCAAGGATTGCACAGGCGATGCCATCATTTCATGGACCTTGGAGTAACTTGCCAGGAAAACGGTTTGTCTTCTCTGAAAATGCTGTTACCGTAAAATTGTTCGTGGACAGTGCAACATTATAATATTATAGTGTGTACTAACCCACTAGGACTACAATTATATAATATTGACTGGCCTTGAGGTAGATACCAGGAACTACATCACCCCTTACGAAAACATAGTGACCGAGTCGGAGACGAGGTCAGTATGATTTCAGTAAGGTCATTATATTATTGTATCTCCCGAAATATGAGCCAGTGAATATTTGAATTCCGTTGTAAGCAAGAAAGGGTACACGCTGCTTTGAAGGTCCCAGATGTTAAATGGGGCCAAGACGTATTGGGCTAAATATTGATCGCAATTTCTGTGGACAAAGTCAAAGGTGAAACCCGGAACAGTGAAAATTTCAGGAAATATTGTTCGCTTGAAACTGCTTGTTTGTGGATGCATTTAATTGCAAGTTAAAAATACCCTTTATAGGTAATAGGGAATAAAAATAGATTGACATCTTCAAGGTCCGATTCACAAAGTTGGTATTTCTTATTTTTATCTACTGTCATTTTGCCTTTTTTCTTGCTTGTCATCTCTGCCAAAACCCACGTTGAGTTTCAACCGAATTTTGTGAAGTTCAGACTCAAAAGATGAAAAGTACTGCATCGGTACTTATCATAACAGGGCCACACGTTTACAAGGAGGCGAATCCAATATTCTTTTCTCATAGGAAGGCAAACAAAAAGGGGGTTGATAATGATTAGTTTTTACTACATATTTAGGTTCCTTCTAAGAAAATAAATGAAGGGGACACCTTTTTCTTGGGGGGGGGGGGGGAGGGGGTAGTGATATGTCACTGGGGTGTGCCCGTGGATACTGACGGTTTCGCAACCCCTTTCGCCTTTCCGTATTCATGTAAATTTGCCTTCTTCACCCTCTCTTTTATTTTTTTTCTAATTCAACAGTTGATTATCGAATCCGCCTGGTAGGAGGCGCATCCAAACTGGAGGGGCGAGTCGAAGTGAAGTCGGACAGCTCATGGGGGACAATCTGCGATGACAACTGGGACTTGACCGACTCCAACGTGGTCTGCAGGATGCTCGGGTACGAGCGGGCAGAGAGCTACTTCTCCTGCGAGAAATACGAGAAGGTGTCCAAGCGGAAGCAGATCATTCTGGACGAAGTTGAATGCGATGGAACCGAGGCGAACATCGGGCATTGTCGGGTCCAGCATTGGCACGACTGTACGCATGATGAGGATGTCGGTATGAAGTGTGTCGATTGGAAAACAGGCACCTCTACAACACTGAGCTCTTCTACGAAAGCAGCTGGTAAAGCAAACTCAGATTATACCTGGGGTCCGTTGCACAAAACTTACTATTGATGGTAGTTTCGCCATCAATGGTAACTACCATGAAAACCTTGATTTTGATTGGCTGTTGAGCCCTGTTACCATGGTAGTTGCCATTGATGGCAAAGTTACCATCAATGGTAAGTTTTGTGCAACGGGGCCAGGATTCACTCACATTCAACAACGCAGTCATCAGATTTACATGTGGTCAATCCTCACACTACATTAGCCCAGAAATCAATCAGACATAAGGATCCAGATACAGATGTATCATCATTTCACAGATGTAAATATTACTTACATAACATATATAAACTACATATCGTTTTTCATTATATCGAACATAAATTTAATTTTTTTATGATCTATTAGACATTTCACTAGACTTAACAATTTACTTCTTTCTTCTTTTCTTCTTGTTCTTTGTAAATAGTGTAAATAGTTTTGGAATTGTATTTGTGTAAAATGATATTTGGAGGTGTTATGTATTTATGCATTTATTTGATCATCTATCAATTCATTCATTCCTTTATTAATTTCTCATGTATTTATCAATTATGTTTCTTTATTATATATATATCTATTTATTTGTTATTTTCTAATGATATATATTCATGTTATATATTAATTAATGGTAGCCCGTCGGTAATTGTGATGATTTTGTCTTATGCTTATGCAGTAAACCTCAAACAATACTCTGTTTAGAAAAATGTAATTATACAAGATGAAATGTTTCAGCAAGGCTTTCTGGTAGAAATCTAAGAAAGCTCGAACCTATCTTCAAGTATTAAAGGAATCAAATGGTTATATTTTTAATGATCTCGTAATTGTAATTACGCAGACGTGACTGGAAATTTGGCGAGCTACAATGAAGCAACCACCGAAAATCCATCGAGATTGCCAGCTCGTAAAACATTCGGTAAGTATTTTTTATTTTGCACGACTGTTTAAAGTAGTAGTAGTAGTAGTAGTAGTAGAAGAATAAGTAGTATTAGTAGTAGTAGTAGTAGTAGTAGTAGTAGAAGTACTACTAGTAGTAGTAGTAGAAGTAGTTCTTGTATTACTAGTATTAGTACTATTATTACTATTCTTAGTAGTAGTAGTAGTAGCAGCAGTAGTAGTAGTATATGTAGTTTTAGTTGGGCCTGTTGATGTAGCGATTATAATAGTAATTATGATAGTAGTACATGCATTCATATAGTAGATATACACTGTATTTGCAGAAGTAGTTTTTAAAGCAGCAGCAACAACATTGGTCTAGGTAGTGGTGGTAGTTATCAAGTCAGTGCTTACCAAGCATTAGTAGATGTTTAATGGAGTAATTTTATGTCATTTCTTTGTTTCTATTTTGTTTATAGCCTTGGTTATATCTCAGGTGGTGTACATTCTAGTGGCTCTTATTGTTATTGTCTTATTGACAATAAGGATGCAGCTGTATAGGTACGGCATGCTTTTATTTCATAATACATCCTTCCACGCTTACAAAAGTGCGCATGCGCCAACATGGGCGCCATTTTAAATTGCCAGTAAACATTGCGAGTAACGTACTGTTATGTTATGCAGCATGCAAAGCCGGCAGTCGCAGGCAGTGGTGCAGCAATACATGAAAATATTGATGCCGCAATTATTACTCTCAAATTAAAATGGCGGCCTTAACCGTGAAGGAATGTACTCTTTAATATTTCAATAATTGACCTAATTAAGAGGAAGAAGGACCAAATCCATCATAAAAAAACACACGAATGAGCAAGAATAACCTTTACATTACACATTCGTTTATTATATACATGTAGTAAATGCACGAAATAAATCCAAATATCACTACAGTTTTGTTTTTTTGCCATTGGTGTTATTATCATCATCATAATCATCATTGTTTTTATTACTAGTATTGTTATTCTCATTTAATAATATTACTCTTATCATTATGTTTTTATTATTATCATCATTGTCATGACTATTATTATTAGTATTATCATTAATATTACATTTAATATATTTTTTCAATTTTTATCGATGTATTAAATTAAGCGGGGGGGGGGGGCTTTTATCAAATGGGTGCGTTGAACTCACCACACCGCGCCGCACCGCGCCGCACCGCACCCTTTCGATGTAAGCCCAATTGTTCGTTGATATTTGATATGTGTGGCATGATTAATTTTGTTAGGGATGTTATTTGGATCTGCATAGACCCAATTAATACCCAAATCCCAATTGTTTAATTCAAATATCACATAAGCAACTTTGGCGCAAGTCGATTTTTGCACTCTCGCAAACAATGCCTCCTGTTCATCCAATCGTGAACACATACCACACAAAAATGATACCAACAGATGTTACGATCCAGCTCAATTCGTACACTTATTTATTAAGTTTCTGTTCTCACCTTCGTATTTTGAAGTCCGAACTGAGAGAGTTCACCTCTTCGAATGGCTGTTCTTTGATGTTTAAAACTTGCCCGAAGCAGAACAATCCGATAGTTAAATGGTGATTTGCATTCGCCTTGTGCAAATAGAGATGGCGTCTGAATGCATCCAACTATACACCGATGATTCTAATTTACACGTATGCCTGCATATCGTACAGCAATAGGCAAGTAGAGGAGAACATGTGAGTCATGTATCATGATGTGTGCATTGAGGCCGCGACACTCATTAGTATACTATCCAACAGTGTAGCCAGGAATTTTTAAAAGGAGGTATTTGTTTTCCCAATTTGTGAGGAAATATTAGTGGCGAATCAGCCAGCCTGTGAATAAGCGGAGGAGAGGGGGGAATGGGGGAGGGGGGGGGGGGGGGGGGGGGCTAAGGAGTACTATTGTTTTCCCTTCTAATTCGTGAGAAAATATTTAGCGGCGAACCAGCCAGCCGGTGAAAAAGCGGCGGGGGGGGGGGGGGTAAGGAGCACAATTTGTTTTGGTTCAATGGGAGATTGGGGGAAAATATTACATTTCCCCCCTCAACATCCACCCCCATACACATAGATGAAACGCAGATAAAGGGTGTCTGTATAATTCTAACCCAACCCCCTTTTTTTGTCATTATATTCCGTTGAGAGCCAGAAGGATGTAAACTCTTTGTTTAAGCATATGAGTGAACGCCCTTCTGGCTCCAAAAAGAATCACCGTACGTACTCTCTCTCTCGTTTACTCTCTCTTTCTCTCTCGCTCTCCCTCTCTCTCCCCCTCGCCCCCCTCTCGCTCTCTCCTTTCTCGTTCACTTTAGTAATATACATCTTTATCTATTCACACTGCCCCCCCTCTCTCTCTCTCTCTTTCTCTCACTCTCTCTATCTCTCTCTCTCTCTCTCTCTCCTCCCGTAAAAATTACCCTCGAAGTTAACAGCTCTCTAAGGACAAATACCCCTATTATAAAAGCAAACTTATTATAAGGGAAGGAAATTTATCTTCATTTAACAGCTAAATGAGGATAAATTTATCTTCATTATTTATTTTGACAGCTAAATGAGGATAAATTGATCTTCATTTAACAGATAAATGAGGATGAATTTATCATCATTTAACAGCTAAATTAGGATAAATTTATCCTCGTTTACACAGTTTAATGAGGATAAGTCAGAAATGTGGGTGGTAGTGTGTGGAGATGTGAAAGAAAAATCAAGGAATCAGTTTGATGAAATTTTGAGGAAAAGTGAACAAAAATTCGTTCATTTTGAAAAGATATACTGTTTAATATCAATTTCATTGTTACTATCAGTGATATCAATGATATCATCATCATCATCATCGTTTTTATCTCCATTATCATGTGATTAGCATTAGCGTAATCATTAACCTTATTCATTGTTCTGTAATCATCATCACTGTTGTTATCATTATTACTAATAGATTTGTGAAGGGATCCTTGTACATTATCAACACTGTATACTTGATTTACTTTGTTATACAGGCGAAGAGCAGTAGAATCGAACGTCACGGAGATTCCTTTGACCGGAACTGAAAAATAAGCATCGTCATATGGAAACGTTCGCTTGTATTTGTCTCATAAAAGAATTTGACCACGAACTGACTCCCACACGGTGTTGAGTGCTCAGGGGTCACAGGCCACTGGCTTCATCGGGCAGGTAGTTCCATTATGTGAATGGGTAAATTAACTATTACAAAATGAGGGGACACATTACATTGTACAATAGGGACACATATTGTTTTTATTGTGCAGAACATACTCTTTTATTGACTTACTTATTGCGTGAAACTATAAAACCAAAATGCATTTTGTATTCTAACAATTGGAGTACAAAGAATAATAACAGGTGAATGAAATGCATAAACACCACAAACACCTGGGGAGGAAGCATTCATAAGTTTGAATACATATAGTTGATAAACGACTCCGATGAAACTAGAAAACCAAAATAAAAATTGGGTTCTGGCAATTGGAGTACAAAGAATGATAGCAGATGAATGAAAATGCTTCAACAGCAACACAAACACCTGGGAAGCTAGGAATTAAGCATCCATAAATTTGAATAATTTAGTTGATAAACGACTCCGCATGTGGACGTTTGTTGGAGCAGAAAGCAGTGGATTCTTAACAACACGAACCCATTTAACCGAATGTCGGAACGTAAATTAAATTTGGCGCGGTTGGAAAATGCATCTTTCTACCCTGCGAATTTAATGGTACGATCCAGTAAATTAAAACAGTAAAATGGGTCTTATTTAAAAATTACTCATTAAATAAAACCCAAAACTTCAGTGATATTAGAAAAAATATGTTATATCTTACTAATAATTAAAAAAAGATGTATAGACATTGTGAAAGTGTCGCATTTTACGATAAAAGACACCGATTTAGCGAAGATGACGTCATTAGTGCGCTTGCATCAGGGAATTCAAGGTCAAAAGGTCAATTCAGACCCTGATAAGTTATTGGTCGAGCCTTTTTGTTTCCTTTATTCCGACAGAATTATACAATCAATCAAAACAAGTTTGATACCAGAAGAAAGCTAACGATTAGTATTTTCATTAACCGCTTGCCCCAAAGTCTCTTGACCACAGTGAAACGAGTGAGAGCTTGCGAGAGCGGCCAAAGTGTGATTGAAACTCGATATTTGCTCTTCTCCAACGCAAAAAGAGACGACATTGTGCTGGATAAATGTATTTTTTCCGACAAAAGTACAGAAAATTTGCATATGGTCTTTTTATATTATACTTTATGAAATGTTACCCGAGTGACTTCCGGGCGCCCCAATGCTGGAAAGAAACGCACATTTTAGAAAACTTCACTTTTTCATGGAAAAATGCTTATTTGTTCTATGCACGCAAGTCAGATTGAGCGGATGATACAACGTTTCCATATGCTAATGGGCCTAGCTATTGCAGAAAATGAGTTGCAGCCTTTTAGACCCCGCTCTCACTAGGGCGCTTTAGCAACGGGACGATAGACAAAGACGACCGGAGAAATCACTCAACCGAGATCGTCCTGTACTATGCTCCCGTCTTCATTTGTAACCTGTATACTCATTCTTAAAGACGCGAAGTCTTGCGTTCTATCAGGGAATTTCGACACCATTCGGTTATTTACTCGATGTCAGGTGTAAGTCAATAAATGAGAGAGGTCATCACATATTCACGAGCAACAGGTCTTATGTAAATATTGGGGACATTGAATATCAACTTATAGATAAAGGTGAGTTCTGGTTTAAAAAAAAAATGAATTCCTATAGAATCAAACGAAACTTACACTGAGTGTTCAGGATTACAAATAAATGTCATTTGCCAAACAATTTGGGTAGAAAATGTATACTGGCTGAGTAATGAGCATAGAAAGATTAGGAAATCAAGGTTAGTAGCCGGGGTTAGTATCCCCGACACCACTTATGTAGTCCCACATCTTTCTGTGTCAGTGCTTGTTACTTTACTAAGACTAGGCCAAATTTATTATAATGTTGATGACTCCAGAACTTTGCAGTACACATCAATACTTACATGCTACATGATCATCTGTTTCTGATCCATTCCACACCTTTTCCTTCACAATGCAATTGCATTACCAGAACTCACCTTTATCTATAATCTTTGGAATAACGTGACGTTGTGAAACGTGGTAAAATGAAAATAATCACAACATTTCACTCTGTCTCTTCTAATACCATATGTATTGAAATATCCGTTTTGTCATTTTTGTATTTCTTGTGATAATCATGATTATTGTGTGACCATTATATTTTGTTTGAATTTTTGTCTAATATTTGGGAATGTTGAATTTGTCCAAATTTAATGTTAATAAAGAACCATTTGGGAGGGGAAAAAACTATGTCTGAAGGAAAAGAGGTCCCTTTTCATGTGACTGCTAAAATTCAATTGTAAATAAAATATGTTTCATTTAAATACCCCCCCCCCCTGAAACGTATTGCACCTGTACATATTCACTCATAATTTCTTTCGCTTTCTGTATTTTTCTTTCATATGATTTATGTATTTGCATTGTTATATTGATGGCCTTTATTTTGTAACTGTAATATTTGTATATTTTATGAATATTGTTTATTATGCCACTGGAGGGCACTTTTTAATATTTTTAATACGTATCAATAAATAAGGATCTGAATCTGAATCATTAACGCCTGTCGTTTTTGTTTTATTTATTCTTTTGTTTAAATACTGATTTACATTTACATGTAGGCCTATTTGCTGAACAGGGATTTCCGTATGGCCTTTTTGAAACAAAAAGTGTTACATATACACTGTTGGTCATAATGGTGGAATAATTATTACCCCAATATATGGAATGATTTGACAATGATTTACTCCTAATAGATCTAGATAATAGTATACATTCTCAGATTTTATTGAATAATAATTTGTGAGTGTTTGTTTTGCGTGACTGCTAAAGCATGTGTGTGCTACTATGCTAATCAACTAGGGGACCTACGTCCTCAAGTCATAACTGACAGCAACAATAATGTGATAGTGTTGATTTCACCTGAAAACATGGCTTAAAAGGAAATAGATGTCGTGAAATGAAAAGGCGATTAATATTATATTTCAATATACAGGTATAGGCCGATTGTGCGGTGATGCTATCAATTGTGCCTGTAATGTTTGAAAAGTGGCAATTTTTAGGAAAGCAATCACAACGTCCATGTTCTTTTACAAAAAAAACATTGCAATTTATATATGTTTTACACCGAACTTCCAACAACAGCACGAAGTTTCATCGAAACTGATTCTCTAGGCATAGTTCCCCTTACACAACATATGAACAGGTCAAATAAAAAGAGGGCTAAAATATAACTCGAATGTAACCATGGAAACTTGCAGAACCAAAAATAATCCACCGGGGTGACATCCTGTGTTTCGGTATACCTGGTTTTTAAACAAAACAACATTTCCTGTCTCCTTCCTATCAATTCATAATCACTGCAAGAAGGAATAGCGAAGGTCAATCTCGAAATGTTACAACACAAAGCCATGTCAACATAAATTATTAGTTTTGAAGTTAGTGTTGCTGCATACAAACAAAGATGGTTGTGTGACTTCGTGAAGAGTTCTAAATGTATTATTCGCTCTAGCTTTGCCAAAGCCACGAATGTGCATTACTAGAAAATATTGCTAGTAGTATATGTCAGAGAGTGAAAATAAATTAAATTTTAACGCTTGTTCTGTCCGATGCCGAAATATTATCATCTAAGTTCGGGATACCAGTAGAAAAGCCGTGCCATAGATGTGGATCTGACAAATCAAATTGGTACTCTTGAATGAATGTGGTCGTTTTTATATGATTGGATAATTACAGGTTACTACGTCATAGTCTCTACTTAAACAACATGCGAAGTTTGGTTGTTGGTTGTATTTGTGTGTTCACGTTTGTAGCTATTTCACGAAGCGCAGGTAGGAATCAATATTTATGTCTAATTGATTGATTGATTTTTATTCGCTAAGCTTCCAACATACAACAATATAGAGTACCGAAGCTGTGACGTCATACAAATCTATTTTTAGAATTTCTCTATTCTTTCTTCATTTTCGGAAAGAGCATCAAGTTAGGAGCCAGAGCAAATAACACTGAGTTGCTATGGGAAATCTTTTTATTTAGATGGTCATATCTCAGCCAATTACATATTCAATTACTTTTCGACATTTGGACATTATTGTTGATGCTCTTTCAGAAAATGAAGAAAAAATTGAGAAATTCTAAAAATAGATTTTTGATGACGTCACACTTCACCACTCAAGAATATACAAGAATAACAGATCAAAATTAAGTCATCTTAAACAGGATAACCCACGAAAGCTCAAGAGCTTATTTACAGTGAATAAATAAATATCACGGGATCGATAGTAAATACAAGTTTTATGATATTCCTTCGTTTGCCCCCTCTCTTAATTTTGAAAATGTACAAATATTCTCTATTTCTTGTTGTATGCAATTTCTCAAATGTTGTACGTCCAACAATTTTGGCTGACCATGTCTTATCCAAGATATATCAGTTACAATGAGTGAAAAAATAGATGAATTAGTGAATAACTAATACCTTGATATTAATTACCCAAATTGGCTTTTTCAAATAAATTTCTTATGACCTTCAATCTCTTTTGTGTTAAGCATATTCATCTTTGACTTGATGATGGTAATGATTATTTGGAATGATGACGATTGCTGAAATGAAAGTAGATTTAACGCTTAATTTGTTTTTGTACATTTAAAAAGGTTATAGCAGGGCACATCCAAATGGAATTCGACTAGTGGGTGGAAACGATCAATATGAAGGACGAGTTGAGATCTTCTACCTCGGTGTATGGTCAACTGTGTGTGACGATTACTTCTATGCCGAGGCAGCTAACGTACTGTGTAGGATGCTGGGTTTCACCTCGGCCACTAGTTCTTACTGCTGCTCTAAATTCGGACAGGGATCTGGGGAAACTATATTTAGTAATGTCTACTGCGAAGGACACGAAACTAATATCTCGGAATGCAGATATAGTTTTTATTCTGCGGCGGTAGTTTCCTCTTCCGATTCGAAGTACTCATGTGATCATTCGGAAGATGTTGCTTTAGTATGCGATCCCGGTGAGTAGGGCGTGTTTTTTAAATCAAGTTTTATCACATCTTCGTTTTATTAACATCCCGTTCCGATTGATTATGCTCTCGGGCAAATGCCATATCTAGACTTGAGTGATCTCTGATTAAACAAAAAACAGGCCATTTCTTTTTTCAACATATTTTCCCTTCCGTAGGGTTTTATTATTATTATGTAAACAAAGAACAAATTTATAAATGATTGAGTATGATGTTTGTAATACAAATTAAATCTGATCACGACACATGAAATGATGAACAAATATAGCAAAATATATATTTATCAAATTTCAATTGTACATATATTACAAAAATACTTAAATACTTGGTAAACAGAAACTTTTTTTCAGGAATTTTTTTTCTTTTTAATTTGTTCGTGCAATATATATTTCCATATCATAATTCGATTCGATTGTCACCATATACGATTGCCTTGGCTTTTATTTCATCAAAATCTATAGGGCTAGGGTCATTGTTAAAAAAAAAGGTTAGGTTTAGGGTTAGGGGTAAAACATTTTATTTGTCCAGGTTAACGGTGATATAGTGTAGTACATCTGTCGCCCGAGCCTGCGTCGTAAAAACCTTGATTTAACTATCTTTTTAAACACTGGTTTCACGACGCATGTGCTTTTCTTGTATATGCAATAATTAGATAATCGTTATTTTTGTCTCTTCTTTGTCATGCATCACGTTCGCATTCCTCCTTCTTTTTGCAGGTAACGTTGAAAGCAACTCGTTTGACATTCGACTCGTAGGTGGAGAAACTCCATTTGATGGCAGGGTGGAGATTTACCACGAAGGCTCCTGGGCAACTGTCTGTGACGAACGTATACGCACCCAAGAGGCAAACGTCCTGTGTAGGATGCTCGGGCACATCTCGGCCAGTAGCTATCACTGCTGCGCGGAATTCGGTAGAGGGGTTGGCGATAACGTAATGAGGGATATACAATGTGAAGGGAGCGAGTTTAATATTACGGAGTGCGAGTTTAGTCATCTTCCACACCAACCCGGCTACTCTTCATCTGATTTTACGGGCGAGTACTGCGACCATTCGGATGATCTAGGACTAGTATGCATACCAGGTAAATAAAGTTAGTCCATGTAAAACAAGAAAATGGAAGAGAGGCAAAGGGTCCATACTGGGGAAAACCCCTGTTTTTACAACGACACTTTGAAGAGGCAGTTAAAATTAATTCCAGCCGTTCTTAGGAAAGCCTCATATAGAGCCTCACAGAAATGACGTTCTATAGCATCAAATATGGCAGAAACAGAGCGCCGTCAAGCTGTTGAGAGCGATGTCGAGAATTTCACAGCAATTTGCTCTCATGAATACAATGTATGTGGCTTCCGCAGAGCCAGTTCAGAAAACATTGGATGGCTATCGTTATCGACACGATGGACTGCCATCAATGTAAAGAGAGAAAAGGCGAGAATTGTATTGTTTATTCAAGGTTTTGTATAAAAAGACTAACTTTCCGACGCAAAAAAAAAACAACCAAATTTATATTTAGCAATTAATTTTTCATCAAAATGCAGGTGAAGTACGAATCCGGAACGGTTCAAAACGCCTCGGTCACCAGAAGGGCAGAGTAGAACTGTTGCAAGGACACAAATAGAAAGCTTTCTGCACCGAATCCATGGACCTCAATCTCGCCATCGTCCTATGCCGGATGCTTGGAGAACATACCGCTAAGTCCTACTATGATATGGAGTTGTTGGACAATGAAGAGGGCGCTGTTCTTAACGTCAACTACGTGTGTCAGGGCAACAAAGACAGTGTAGCCGATTGTGAGGAGCAGAGTAGAGCGGCTGTCAATTGCAGTAGGGACCAACGGATAGCAGGGATTACGTGCACCAGTCGTAAGTTAAAAATTTCCCTTTTCCCTTCAACCTTTCCGCACCACACTTTAATATCCAAAGACTCGAGAATTAAAATCCCTCCAGAATATACCCCTGGGTCCCGGTCATATCAAGAGTTCCGATTGGTCCAAATCAATCGCAATTCCTTCAATCAATCGCACGTTTGCAGTCCCCTGTCTCTTATGTTGCGATAGTTGCTATTGATATCAACTCTTTGTAAGACGGAGCCCTGGTTAGAAATGTAAAATGGACTTCGTAAAGCGAGACGTGGAAGTATGACGTCGCATGATGTTTGCAATAACACGAAGCATCTGAAAAGAAGAAAAAAAGATATCACAATGTGACAGGAGGTTGTAAATGAGACTGTCTTTATATGCGAAATTTGGTTCCAACATAAAATACAAAACTGAGAAGGTTCTGAGTTCTTAGAAAAAACAATAATGTTTGATGATCCTTATTCGTAACGTCAAATTCTAACGAAACGTGGTCTAGTTGTAATGTCGCCTTATGGGGTAGTAAACTCACTATCTAAACATCCGAGTATAAAAGTTTCTTGTGATGTATTAAAATTAAAAAGCTGCGACTACAGCCGTTGGAAATAACATCTTGGTTCACCAAATATAGCCCGTAACCAGTGCAGCAAAGTGCCTTCTATTGTGTAACCCTCTGGTTTGTTGTACCCCCATCATTTTGTCAAATATTTCAACTATAATCTTTTAAAACCATAGTCCCAGTCCGTCTTGTCTCTAAGAAGGACAACGAAGGAAGAGTCGAGGTCTACCATGGGAGATCATGGTCAGCGATCTGCTATACCTCGTGGAACATACAAGCCGCCGACGTTGTCTGCCGAATGTTGGGCTACACTGGCGCCTCTGCGGCTTTCCGTGACGAGGAATTACTTGAAGCGCCCTCTGCGAGCATCCTGTATGAGAGCATCGAGTGTAACGGAACGGAAAGAAACGTTGCCCATTGCAACATGTCGGAGTCTCGGCGGGGAAGGTGTGACCTCGATGGATACGCAGCTGCTAGGTGTGCCGGAGAGGGTAATGGAGTTTGAGTTTGAGTTTGAGTTTATTAACAACAAAAATAATAAAGAGGAAAACAAACATAAAGTATCAAGGATGATTACATAAAATATAACAATATAACACAAGATCGATAACATTATGATTATCATCTTCATCATATTATAGCTATATAATAGTGCAGGGTAAATGGAGCCCTATCACATAAAAAAGAAAGATATGCTAAACAATTAGAAAACGAGGTAACAAATATAGGGTAAAATTACGTATGTTTCTCTTATCGTATTATATCAAAATAAGTATTTTAGTTACCTTTGTAGGCCAACACGTGTAAAGTGCCTCTAGGGTATTGGGACAGCTGAAAATTCAAATTCCAGATTCATTTTCTCCAGCAATTGATATTTATTTTTTCGACTTTATTTCGTAAAATATTGTCGACGAACTTCCTGCTTATTAGAGATAACGCGAATTTGTTTGTTTACCTTTTAAGCCTACATTTATAAGCAATATACCCGTATTCTGCAAGAGATATATCACTGATAAGAAATTGATAGATTCATATTTTGCCCTAGTTGAGGTACCCGTGCGACTGTTTGGAGGAGCTGACTTTCATTCGGGAAGGGTCGAACTATTCTACTACGGCTCCTGGGGCACTGTGTGTGCTGCAGACGACCTCAGCACGACCTCCACGCCGCACTACGCCATGAACATCGCAAACGTGATATGCCGGATGCTCGGGTTCCCGAGGGCGCTGTCTTACGAGTGCTGCGGCCACTACGGACAAGGTCTCGGAGGCATCTTTCTTGATACTCTCAAATGCACTGGCAAGGAAGCCAACATCCTCGAATGCCCGCGGAGCGATCAAGGATTGCACAGGCGATGCCGTCATTTAATGGACCTTGGAGTAACTTGCCAGGAAAACGGTTTGTCTTCTCTGAAAATGCTATTACCGTAAAATTGTCTTTTGCCAGTGCAAGATAATGAGATTAGACTGTATTAAACCTACTAGGACTACAACTATATAATATTAACTGGCCTTGAAGAAGATACCAGGAAACTCTATCACCCTCTTACAAAAACATATTGACCGAGTCGAAGACGAGGTCAATATGATTTCAGTAAGGGCACTATATCATTGTATCTCCCGAAAGATGAGCCAGTGAATATTTGAATTCCGTTGTAATCAAGAAAGGGTACATGCTGCTTGGAAGGTCCCGGATGTTAAATGGGGCCAAGACGTATTGGGCTAAATATTGATCGCAATTTGTGTGGACAAATTCAACGGCGAAACCCGGAAGAGTGAAAATATCAGGAAATATTGCTCGCTTGAAACTGCTTGTTTGCGGATCGGGAAAAATATGCATTTTAATTCAAAGGTAAAATTACCCCTTACAAGTAATAGGGAATAAAAATATATTGACACCTTCAAGGTCCGATTCGCAAAGTTGGTATTTCTTATTCTTATCTACTGTCATTTTGCTCTTTTCCTGCTTGTCATCTCTGCCAAAACACACCTTGAATTTCAACCAAATTTTGTGAAGTTTAGACTCAAAAGTTGAAAAGTACCGCATTGCTACTTATCATAACAGGGCCACATGTTTACAGGGAGGCAAATCCAATATTCTTTTCTCATAGGAAGGCAAACGAAAAGGGGGGTTGATACATGAAACGAATTCATAATGGCTACTACATTTTCAGGTTCCTTCTGAGAAAATAAATAAAGGGGACACCTTTTTTTTTTTTTTTTTTTTGGGGGGGGGGGGGGGGGGGGGGGGGGATAGTAAAATGTCACTGGGGTGTGACCGTGGATACTGACGGGTTTTGCTCCACCTACCCCTCCCCCCCCCCCTGCCATTCCATATTTATGTAAATTTGCCTTTTCACCCTCTTTTTTATTTTCTTTAAATTCAACAGTTGATTATCAAATCCGCCTGGTAGGGGGCGCATCCAAACTGGAGGGGCGAGTCGAAGTGAAGTCGGACAGCTCCTGGGGTACAATCTGCGATGACAACTGGGACTTGACAGACTCCGACGTGGTCTGCAGGATGCTCGGGTACGAGCGGGCAGAGAGCTACTTCTCCTGCGAGAAATACGAGAAGGTGTCCAAGCGGAAGCAGATCATTCTGGACGAAGTTGAATGCGATGGAACCGAGGTGAACATCGGGCATTGTCGGGTCCAGCATTACCACGACTGTACGCATGATGAGGATGTCGGTGTAAAGTGTGTCGATTGGACAACAGGCACCTCTTCAACACGGAGCTCTTCTACGAAAGCAGCTAGTAACGCAAACTTAGATTATACCTGGGCCCCGTTGCACAAAACTTACCATTAGTTGATGTTAGCTTTGCCATCAATGGTAACTACCATGGAAACCTTGGTTTTGATTGGCTGTTGAGTCCTGTTACCGTGGTATTTTCTATTTAAGGCAACGTTACCACCAATGGAAAGTTTTATGCAACGGGGCTATGATTCACTCATATTTAACAAGGCAGTCATCAGATTTGTATGTGGTCAATCCGCACACTACATTAGCCCAGAAATCAATCAGACATAGGGATCCAGATGTACGGAATTCTCCACCTAACAATACTCGCAATATAAACTCCTTTAAAAGAGCACTCAAATGTATTATCATTTCACAGACAGAAGATATTACTTACATGATATATCTAACCATACATATCAGTTCTCATTATATCGAACACAAGTTTAAGTCTTTTACGATCTATGAGACATTTTACTAGACTTAACAATGTACTTCTTTTTTCTTTCTTTTTTTCCCTCTTTTTTTTCTTTGTAAATAGTGTAAATAACTCATAACCCTTTTGGAATTTTATTTGTCATATATCATACCATAAATCATATATGTGAAAGGTGTTGTAACGATTTAAGCTCTATGCTTATGTTTCATCACCTTTGTCTGTACATTCTTTAAACTGTATTATAGGTGCAACTTGTCTTTGATAAAACATTGTTATATTCTTTTTCATATGAAGTCAATTCAAATGGATTGTAGAATTGAAAAGGATTAGTTATTTCACTGATGTGATGTGAGCTCCAATGAATTGTGAAATTTTGAACACACATGCATAAATAAATAAATAAATACATATATTAGATAGCTTAGACAGATACCGAGATGTGATTGGTCCAGAGCTCGTCACGTGATATCAATTGCGAGGATCCAAATTGTTATATTTTCCTGGCCGGTCACTTTTCAGTGTTATATTTTACCGGCCGGTGAAATGAATATATTTTTAATCAATGCATGTCGCCCTCTTGAGGACTGTATGTCACCAACTACATAAATTACACCATTATCGCGAGGGCCATTTTATTTTTTCAATATTTTTTTTTCATGAATTTTTTTTTTTCCCAAGAAATTTTTTTTTCCACATTTTTTTTTTCCCCCAAAAATGCTTTTTTGGGTAAATTTTTTTTTTTAATAATTTTTTTTTGTTTCCCGAAAAATGCTATTTTTTTTGCTAATGCTAATTTTTTTTTTTTTTTTTTTTTTTAACCCCAATTTTTTAAATTTTTTTTTAAAGGTGATCTCGACAAATTATTTTTCCGTAATTTTGATTGTCTCCGGAAAAAAAAAAAAAAAAAAATTCGGGCTAAAAAAATATGGACCCCCCCCCCCACAAAAAAAAACCCCCAAGGCTATCTAATATAACAGTTATTGACTGGCAGGGGGTATATAACATTCTTTGGACCTGAAGGGAGTTATATTTTCCCTCGTGACCATATTTTCCCTCAGCGCTGCGCGCTTCGGGAAAATATAACCACTTGGGAAATATAACTCCCTTCAGCGGTCCAAATAATGTTATATTACACCCCCTGCCAGTCAATAACTGTATATTATTAGACTGACGTAGATCCATCACTTCAGAGAAAGGCTGTTAGCGGCGCTGATTTATTATGAATTAAATTGTCTTTTTATTCATTCATTTATTTAATTTTTTTGATTTCCTTTAATTTATCAATTTATCTTTGTGATCTCTTTCTAAAGTTACATAAAAATTACAACATTATCATGATAGTAAACAAATAATATAATTAATACCTCAAACAATACTCAGTTTAGAAAAATGTAATTATATACAAGATGAAATGATTCAGCAAGATTTTATTGTTGAAATTTAAGAAAACACGAACATTTGCCACACTCAACCCAAGTGATGTAAATGGGTACCTGGCAGGAATTAATTCCTTGAAATGCTAGAGCGCCGTATGACAGACATGAGCGCTATACAAGCATCCACTATTATTATTATAATTACTATTTATAAGTATTAAAGGAATCAATTGGTTATAATTTTAATGATCTCGTAATTGCAATTACACAGACGTCACCGGAAATTTGGCGAGCTACAACGAAGCAACCACCAAAAATCCATCGAGATTGCCAGCTCGTAAAACATTCGGTAAGTGTTTCTATTTTGCACGACTAGTACTTGTACTTGTAGTACTAGTAGTAGTAGTACTTTTATTATTATTCTTAGTAGTAGTAGTAAAAATAGCAGTAGTATTAATATTAGTAGTAGTAAGTAATAGTAGTAGTAGTAGTAAGTAATAGTAGTAGTAGTAGTAGTATTTGTAGTTTTGGTTGTGCCTGTTGATGTAGCGATTATGATAGTAATTATGATAGTAGTACGTGTATCTATATAGTATAGCAGCAACAACAACATTGGTTCTGGAAGTGATGGTAGTTATTAAACTCATTACTTATCAAAGCATTAGTAGATGTTTAATGGAGTAATTTTATGTCATTTCTTTGTTTCTATTTTGTGTATAGCCTTGGTTATATCTCAGGTGGTGTACACTCTAGTGGCTCTTATTGTTATTGTCTTATTGACAATAAGGATGCAGCTGTATAGGTACAGTATGCAGTTATTTCACAATGCACATTTTAATGTTATAAACGTTAAATGTACTAAAGCGAAAAGTTACTATAATTTAGTCCTAGAAACGAAAAAAGAGAAAATTGTTTTCCATTTTTGGCAAATAATTCAGGCCTACCAGAAACACTTGTTTTGAAAGATATATTTCAGTTCAAATTTGATAAGATAAGAGACAATAATGTCAAACAATATCATTTCAAATTCATTCATAGGATATTGCCTTCTAAAGATAATCTCTTAAGTTACATAGAAAACCGTAAGTACAGTACAGTCTAACGAATGTGAAATTTTTTTGTGAAAAAGAAATTATTGAGCATTTTATATTTCGTTGAAAGAACTTAAAGAGTTTTCTGGAAAGATATCTCAAGACTTGTATATTTCATTTTTAAAATAGAAATTGAAATCGATATGAAAATTTTATTAATTGGATATAAAATGAATAACAGAAAATTTACTTCACTTAAGTTCTTGATAAATTATGCACAATTTGTATAAATATACACAAATTACGTAAAGCGGAACTTTGGGGACGTACCAACCAATCAAAAGAGGTTTATAAGTTATTTTATTTCACCATTGAAATTGTAAATATTTTTTTTTTTAATTGTTATCATCATTGTCATGACTATTATTATTATTTTTTATTTTCATATCATTATTATATTTCATATGGGGTTTTCCATCATTATCAATGTTTTAATATCAATTTCATTGTTACTAATAGTGATATTAATGACATTAGTATTGTCACGCAGTTTGGTTAAGATATTTGATGTAATATTATGTATATATTTTATTCCATGCTTTAGTCTACTTTACAACTATCCATGATTATTGTACTAGTATATGTTAAGGATGTCTTGCTATAATTACGCTATTACAAATCCAGCCAGCTCGATCCCAATTGCTTTGCATACAGCGGAGTTCTATTCTCTCCTCACTTTGACCTTGCATTCACTTTCAGAACTTTCACTCTGTCCCTTCTCACTTTGACTTTGCCTGACTTTCAGAACTTTCACTCTGTCCCTTCTCACTTTGACTTTGCCTGACTTTCAGAGCTCTCGCTCTTTCCCTTCTCTCTTGTTTGCCCGAAACTCTCATTTCAACCTTGCACTGTCCTTCAGCCCTTTCAGCTTGCTTCTTGTCTTGACTTTCTCCTGTCCTTGTATCCTCTCTCTCAATATGACTTTGAGCTCTCTATTTATGTGCTCAATGACGCCCTTCTCCTAAATACTCCGCAGCGCGATACTTGTGACCTACATGACTGGTCTTTCTCCATCTCTATCGAAGGGTATATAAGACAGACTGCATTCGTATCTTAGGCAGTTAGGAGCGAAGAATCTGTCAGTGAAGAGTGAAACTAGGGAGCTGTCGAGAGTTAATTGTGTCAGTTAGTGTGACAAGCCTGTCATCACAGTATTTGAAGCGAGAGTACTTTACGAAGGGGATAGAGAGCCAACCTGTTCAGAAATGGTCTCCTGTCATGTTAGTCTATCTTTTTAGCCTGTTCTAACGCCTGCTGTATTATTTTGCCTCTCTGATTCGCAAGACAATCTCTTTTATCCATCCTTGTAAATGTGTTTGGGTTTGCTGTAATAAATTCTTCAACTGTAATTCCTGCCTCTTGAGTGTTTATTCTCCCTGAATCTCGGCCATCCCTAACAACTAAACTTCAACATATAACGGGGCTAATATATTTTGGGACTTTTACTTCCTATCGTCGACCAATATAAGTCGCCGTTACACTGGTGTCAGAAGTGGGATACAGACTTTAACACGTGCTTTAAATACGATACAATGTCTCCGAGGAAGCGAAAAGCCGATCTTGAGAGAGAGATCAGGGAGTTAAAGGCAGAACTCAGCATCGCCAAGAAACAAATCGGCGAGCCGAATGATATCGACAATGACAATGATGCTAGTGAAAATACTGAATGGAGAGATGAAAATGAGGTGTCCATTCACACTGGAGTGAAAGTCCAATTACCACCCCAAGAGCCGTATAATGGTACAGGACGATCATGGGAGAGTTTTGTATCGTCTTTCAGAAACCTCGCGGCTACTTGTGGCTGGGAGGAGTCGGAGCAGCGTGTTCGTCTTCTCGCCTGTCTCCGAGGTGATGCAGCCGATTTTGTCTTCCAGCAGCTCGCCCCAGACGACATCGCTGACTTCGGGAATTTGATATCTGCGCTCGAGCATCGTTTTGCTGCACGAAAGACGCCTTCTACGTTTGTGTCGCAGCTAGAATTACGTCGTCTTGGTCAGAGGGAATCAATTGCTGACTATGCTGCAGATATTCGCCGCCTCACGACATTTGGCTACCCGACGGCGGATGCTGCAACAAGGGAGATGATCCCCTAGTAAAAAATAAATAGGAAAAAAATAGAAAAAAAATAGGGAAAAAATAAATGCAAAAATATATTTTTTTCCTATTTTTCTCATCCCCAAAAAAGCTATTTAATTGCTATAGTTTTGGAACAAAAAATAGGAAAAAAATAAAGCCACAAATAGTTTTGAAATATATTTTTTTCCTATTTTTCTCGTCCCCTAAAAATAGGAAAAAAATAAAGCCACAAATAGTTTTGAAATATATTTTTTTCCTATTTTTCTCATCCCCCCAAAAAGCTATTTAATTGCTATAGTTTTGGAACAAAAAATAGGAAAAAAATAAAGCCACAAATAGTTTTGAAATATATTTTTTTCCTATTTTTCTCGTCCCCTAAAAATACCCCAAAAAGCTATTTCAAATAGCATAGTTTTGGAACAAAAATAGGAAAAAAATAGGAGACTTAAATAGCGTTGAAATAAAAATAGTTTATAAATATATTTCAGACATATTTTTTTCTGAAATATATTTCTAACATATTTTTTTTACAAACCAAATATATTTAAAATCTATTTAAAAAAAAAATGGAATATTAATTGAATGATTGGTGTACTGTATAATTGTTTGGTAGCAATTAAATCTCTGTCAAGCTCTACTTTGTAGCACCTTGTTGTACAATATATGCATGTAGGTGCATGTCATGCGCACATGTACAAAATAATTGGATTAGTCGAATCCCCGTCCACATATTACCCGAGTAAAAATTAAAATAGGAATAAAATAGGGGGAAAATAGATACACTAAAATATTTCTATCCTATTTTTCTGCTGCCAGATGTACAAGATAAATAAAATGCAAACACATTTTTATTTCAGTTTGAAACGTTAGAACACTTTATTACATAAAATATCACATGCAATGTACACCCATATGGTGAATGAGAATACTAAACAAACAGTCTACAAACTATTAAAACATATTTACAAAAGTCACACTTACAAAACTTGAGCAGCATTTCATATAGAAAATTTTGGATTTAGAGGTAAGAACGGCCGGTAAATATTATGTATCTTTGGCAAACCGATTGGCATATACCCGTCTTATAAATGATACAAATATTACGCAAAGGTAGTACTAGGTCTTTGTAAACATAAACGCAAGAAAGAAAAAAAATATATCTTTTTCTTCTTCATTAAATTGTTCCCTATATAATCACTGGTAAAAATTGCAGATATTGGGTTCACATATATATATGTATTAGTTGTGTAAACGAAACTATTATAATGTAAATCTAATCTGAATGTAAGATATTAGAATTTAAAAAAAAAAATGAATTTTCACATTTTTGGCTAATAAAATACTAGCATATATACAGGATGTGAACCAGTATTGAACAGCTTATACATGACTATAAAGTGTTACATGATACCAGTAGCAAGGCTATCTGGCAAGTTTCAACAGTCTAAACAAAATCTTTAAAAATGTCTATAAATGAAAACATGTGAAGGCAAAGGTATAGTTCACATCTATAACAATGTAAAAAGTGTTAATAGCACTGGCAACTTGGTCTATCTGTCAAGTGTCATAAGGATGTCAAACATGAATAGTCTTCAGATGTCTTTAAAACTTTAAATGAATACTAAGACAAAGCTTTATTACTGTTACATGAATACACATCTATAAAGTGTTACATAATACTGGCATCAACTACATAGTACACGTGAGCTGACATGGCAAAGAGTATAGTGAAACAAAGTTATACAAAAATATTCATACGCAGATATAGAATTTATATATATATATATATATATACATCAATACATGTATATATTTAATTACGCCGTGAGGTAATTCAATTTGTGTTTGTTAAGATTGCCTTGGTAAAAATTAAGCTGTGTATTGAAGATTTATGTCTCAGATTCATTCCGACCGCGAACACATGTTTGATTGTGGCAGGGCGAGGCAACCTGGAAGTACTTGCTGAATGTTTGTTGGACGGCATTATTGGCATCATTTTGAAATGCTTTCCATTAATTACAGATGAACAATAAGTCATTAACCATGTATGATTCTAATACTTTCACCCATGTCTTGCATTTCCTTGATGTGTGTTGGACAGTTCAGTCTAACAAATTAAGACTGTATGTACATGTACTCTAGAAGACAAGGGTGCCAGTGCCACACAGTCCAAGTTGATGACTTTCCAGCAGCCGAAGCTAAGATACCCTGAAGAAGAAAAAATAATAAGTAAAAAAAAATAAGCAGGTTGTAGTATTCTATTATGCTTTCAAATCAAATCTAGGAAAATTTAAGAGTTGAACGTGGAATGTACACTTGTACAAATGAAATTCATGTAAGAACTACAGTTACTTGCATCCTTCACAAATTCATGACATGATAGATGCTTGACTACTTACATGTATGAATTATGATGATTGAATGATGAGCTATACTTTGCAACTATATGGTCATGCATGATGCAATACACCTACATGTGCATGCAGGATCTGCACAGCCAATTGAATGCGGGATTGTGATGGAAAAAAAATCATAACACACATAATATATACAGTGTATGTGACATACAAATGTACGGCTTCTAAGAATCAACTTTGCCATTCAATTTCTGTTAAAAATATGCAAGAAAATCTTG